GAGCTCCCAGTTCTGTCAGCGGTGTAAGCGGTTGCATTATTCTTAAGCGGTCTCCTTTCGTGAACGGACAGTCGCAATGCAGACCGAAATCCTGACATACGACGTACCGAAGTTATATTATTAGATATATTAGGGAGTGGATGTCATGCCCAGGCCAAAATTGAGCACCCAACCACTTAAAGCAACATCCAGGCGAATTGAGGGGGTAAACACCGTTGCATATGCAGTTATAGCGGACAATCTTGACCCGATAGTTGACGAAAAAACCCAAAGAAAAACGCGAACAAGGCTTTAAAACAGGGACTCTCCTTCTGCCGCCTAAGCGATGTGGGAAGAAGCGCGTTGACGAGTTGTCTGAACTTGGCCCGCACTTAGATTCGCTTCCAGCATTGCATTTTAAAAAAAAAAAAAAAAAAAAAAAAAAAAAAAAAAAAAACAAAAAAAAAAAAAAAAAAAAAAAAAAAAAAAAAAATTCACTAACATAATTACATAAACGATACATAACATAACAACATCACAACACAAAAAAAAAGATACAATTTTGCAGTGCACGGCCAGTAAATCACATTGATCTTTAAGGGCCACGGAGTTCAAAACGCCCTGTGGTTAAACCGAGCGGCGCATTGCCTCCGTAGCATCACGACTGGCAAAGTGGCGGACCCTGATGGGAGGTTGCTTTAAGGGACACATTAAAATTTAAGCGATTTTCCCTAACTAAGTCACGAGCGCAGGGAAGAACAGAATAAAGATAAAAACGCACCTCGTAATGGACAAATCTACTTTCGAGCTTTCGCCGCCAACATTGTAAATACTTTCATTCAGAAACGCGTATTCGAATTAAAAGTTTTCCCCATCCAATGCCTTGCGCGGGCCAGCTGAAGTGCAGTTACCGTTTTCATTTCCGGAGAAGTGTGATACCGATTCATAGAAGCTAAAGAGATAAGAGTCTAGGTAGAGCTGGATGGCGTGCGATAGCGAATTTGAGTGCGGAATGTGACGTAGGTTAGCGCGGTGCCGCTTGTCATTGCATCACTTTCAACCAGGTTCATAAAAATTAGATAAGGAGTTGTATGTGAACCGTTTCCTCCAGGACGTATCCTCCTCTAATGCTATCAGGCGCTGAGAGGGATAGGTTTGCGCATGGGAATTACCGACACCTTCGCTTTGTATCTTCCGACAGTAAGAACCAGTGCGACTCGGAGAACAAAGCTTGAACAGGAGGCGCTACAGCAGTTTGATAGCGATTCTCCAGCAAAAAGCCTGTTTCCCTTCCCCTAAGTTCGAGGAGGCTGGCATCGGAGGAGATACGGCGTTGCATATGGTCCAAAGAGCGCGGACATTTTGAAGCGTAGCACAATTGCCACCTTAAAGTATGAGTATTAATAGAAAATTTTAAGCAACGCACTGACTTCCTCGCTATAACCTTCGATCCACTGGCTCGTCTTTTGAAAACATGGCGACTCTCGGGTTTCGCCTTGCTTCTACGGTCACGAGTCGCGAGGGGCTCTGACTTACGGAGAGAATTCTCGGTATATCCAGTGAGCGGAGAAACTTGTTGCGGGACTTCGTCTTTCACACTGAAACTGAGTCACCATTATTTCAAAAATACCTCGATTTCTTAATAATGGACTGATTACTGCTCCCAGCTTTCGCTGACTCCACCTTGAGGCAAGCGTTTCTCATGGTTTTTGTAGGCTAAATTAACGACGGAAAGCTGAAAGTTCAATATAGAAGCTTTAATGGGCATTATTTGAATAAAATACATTTTATTAATTATTAATGTCTTTAATGCTTCTCATCGAGCTCTGCCAACTAAAAGGAAAACAGCGTTGGCCTTTAGGGTAATTGGAGCTCGAATCGAACCGCAGGACTTCGTTGTGTGTGGTGAATGGGCCAGTCCCCAGCCACTGAATAACATATAAGCTTCTCACAACAACGGTATCACAATCATAAACGCTGTTCAGGTGCATAAAGGAGGATAGGAACGAGGAACGCTGAGGCGAGAGAAGTTCTGGACCTGCACAACCATAACCCGTTATGGCGGTCTGAAGCACGTTCTCGCGAAAGAAATACTCCAGAATTGGAAACTGCAACAGTGGAGAAGACAGACGGTAACAACATGTGCTCGAGAGGATTACCCTCGGAGACTACATTATGAAGGACATGAAGGAACTTCGGCGAAAAATTGCTCTGCCACGGCACGGCACAGGCCCCTTCTGGCAGATATTGCCATAAGTCTTCAAAAGAAGATCATGGTAAAAATGGAGCGAAGAAGCCAGTGATGTAACCACCGAGCGGGGAAGGCGGTCTCAAAGAAGGTTACGGGGCAGGTCTCCTGAAGGGCCAATACAGCGGACTTGGATCAACGCGGCTGAGACTATCCTTCGATGCGCCGAGGACGTGCTGGGGCGAGATGCATATGAGGTGGACTCAGGGGAAACAAGGCAGCGTGGTTCTGAAACAAGGAAGAGCGAGTCATGAGCAGGAAGAAGACAAAATACAAGCTCTGGCAGAACACATGGAGCCGTAAAAAGCTCGCTGTTCACAAGAATTGCAAGGGCTTGCTAAGGCTGCCGTCACTTAAGCAAAGAAATAGAATGTACGCCTTGCACAAGAAGTTGAGAAGCAGAAAGCGGCAGCTTCTCAGGATATCAGTGGTGAAGAGTGTGAAGAGCAGCAACCGCACCATCCTAAGGAAGTCAGCCGAAATCAAAGAGAAGTGTGAAGAATACTATAGTGTACTTTCAAGCGCGAGTTTCTTCACAGAATAACACAAGTATACGTATGGCCCATCTGACAGTGCAGAGAAGATGAGGATCGTCTAGAGATGTAGGAAACATGAAGGCTGGGAAGGCAGCTGGTCCAGACGGGGTGCCAATCAAGGCATGGAAGGACTCGTAGAGCACGGGATAAGATGGCTTGCAACAGCGCAACTGCGGAAGGAAGCATACTGCATGCCTGGAGAACAAGTACTATTGTCCTCATCCCAAACACAGGAGTGACACGATGACTATAGCGGGATAAGTTGACTGCGCGTATGCAAGCGGCTGGTCGACAAGCTGCGGGAGCGGGTCTCGATCTATCAGGAACGACGCGGGATCATGCCTGGAAGATCCACAAGATGCCATCTTCATCGCCAGGCAAGTGATGGAGAAGTATAGAGGAAACTGCCAACACTGCTCCTTGGACTTTCTCGATCCGAAGTAGGTGTGTGACCGTCTACCGCGACGAAAGCTCTGGGAGGCATAAGAGAGAGGACGTGCCAGATTACCTGATCCCTGTAGTGAGAGACATATACGAAAGAGCCAAAACAGCTTCACGTACCCCTCACGGCTAACTTAGGCGACATCACGGCAGAGGTCCTTTCTGTTCCTTTTCGCTCGCGATGCTATGCGGCAGCGAGTGTTGGCCTTTGAACGAGGATCAAGAAAGGCAGATTCATTCCGCTGAAATGGTCCTGCGAGTGGACCCATTTGGACAGGGTCAGAAACGAGGATGTCAGAGTGGTCGTGCAGACTGCCCCTGTTCAATTAAAGATGCGGCAGCAACGCTGGCGGTGATAGTGATAAGGGCTACGGGGGCCAGAGGATCACCTGATAAAGGGAGCAATGGACTCTGAGCGCAGGAAGCGACCGCGCAGAGCTCCAAAAAAAGGTGGAGAGACCTGATCAAGGAGGATCTGAGCGAAGTCATGGCCACAGCAGAAGACCCTGAACAGATCAAAGTGGCGACGACTCACACAGACGTGGACCCTGCGACTGCGCTGTACTAATGCTAGGGAGAAGAAGACCTTCATAACGCTCCTAATCCGAAAAAAATGAAAGTAAACGAGTAACAGTAGTGCTGGCTAACTGCATAGAGCCGTCCAACTCACAATTATTGCATTTAGCACATATGAACTCGCACTGAGTTGAATGAGTCAACTCATGAACTTTCAGATCGTTCTTGCGAACAAATGTCCTTTCACAAAATAGACAAGCGAATGGCCTGTCAAGTGTATGTACAGAACGGATATGAGCAGCTAAAGCCTGAATTATAAAACTGTAAGACTACTACAAAGTTTTTCGAAAGATTAAATAAGTGATGCAGTGGCAGAATGGTGTAAATCCAGGATGCTCATCCAAAATTGCGTACTTTAGTACATTTATATCCGGGATGACTACACCCTTCATAAGGGCATGCATGCTTCTTTTGCTGATGCACCATCATATCATGACGTCGCAGTCCTCCTGCACGACCGAATTCCATGCCGCAATGCTCACACTTGAATGGTCGACGGTTCCTGAATCAACTTTGGTGAGTTTCTTCCACCTAGAACGACAGACACTGATCTAGCATAACTGTGTACCTAACATGCGTGAGCACGCGTTCACGTGATCCACTAAAACATATGCGTTTACATACATAGCTCTAGTGCATTTAGGCTGACGTCAGACATTGCAAACTCAAGAATTTACTGCATCCGAGGGGTGCGACTGATGCGCCAACGTTTTGAACGATGCAACAGAGAATTTAGTCGCTAATTCGCTAGCATATCGCTCGTACCCTTCAAATGGCTAGCAAAACTCCCAACCGAGCTACGGAAAAGCTCACTGACAAAAAACGAGAATAACATCACACTCTCCATAAAAACAATGAGAAAGCGAAGAATGTACACCACAAAGATTGAAGAACATAGGAAAACGAGAAAACAGATGTGCCACACAACAAAAAGAGCATTTCAAACGACGTACTCATGGACAACATCAATGTGTTCCCTCAGCTGACTGTGTGCATTGTATACCTAGAAGAACTGAAAAAAGAACGGCTGCTTCAGAGTATACAACGGCTGGTACCTTGTTGCAGTGCTGGCAGACGAAGACAGTTGGTGCAGCTCTTTCTCCATGCAAACGTACTTCATGCCTTTGAGCTTTTTCTAGGGTTTTGAATATCTGAAGAGCATGCAAAAAATGAGCTACTGACCGTTCCTGTTCTGTAGGTGAAAGATCACCGTCATTCTGAAATAACCGATGGGAAATTTATGTGCTGTTCTCTAGCAACAAAGAGATCTGCTTCGAGGTCACTTCGTTTTTAACAACACTTACTTGATAGAATAAGCGGTAAAAGTCGTTATAACTAAACCATTCATCCATCCATGCTTCCATGACCAAACATGGTCATCGTTTTGAATAGTTGATTTCCATTTCACTCTCGAGAACTGGCCTCTCCTCCGCCCCTCCCCTCTCGGCACTGGGTCTTATGATTAGGCAAGGTCTTCAACAGTGAGGTTGGTTCAAGAAGATGAGGCTTCCAGGAAGTTATCGCTTTTCTCGAACTTTCCTTTCAATGCCTAAACAAATACAACAAAGTGCCTCATACAGGAAGAGGTGTGCTGGACACGGAAGACAGGTTCATTATACATGAAGGCTCACCATACCCCAGTGAGATAGAGCGAGTATGTTTCCGGGCAACCACCTGAACCTCTTTCCCCAAAAGCTTTACGAATTCTGCTGCGTTCTTTTCCACTTCTGAGGTCAACACCTCGTACATCAGATGCTAGCAAAACAGGATATACTGCATGGCAGGGAGTATTATCCCAATCTTGAACATCACTACCATCATGTTTGAGATATAACATACAAATAGTAAGGGGACTTAGTAGGCCAATTAATACCGTTCTTGACTAGGTGATAAATGATGAAAAGGTTGACTCAACAACAAGCAAGAGAGCATATGTTCTATCTTTTCCCACTACAACCACTATCTGTTTCAAACACTAATTTCTTTGATGTTCATCCAGATTATGAACTTTATACTACGAAACATACCCCCCCCCCTCCCCTGTTTCTCACATATCTGTGACTGACCAATGTCTTTTTATGATTATGTGGAATCATCATGCAACAATGAAAAGTGAAGCAACAGGAAATAACAGAAGTGCAGATAGGGATAATGCAGAATAACTGGCAACATTTCATCAAGGTATCGGAACTTCTGTTCAGAGATTGAAGATCTATGCAAAATAAAAAAACTTGATGGGAACAGAATGATCCGAAATAATCTATCACTTCAATTATTAATTTGTAATGAAAGTCCAGTACACAGCCTTATCTACCACTTTGTACACTGGACATCGTTTCGAGCAACGCGCATCGTTTTTTTCTTGGCTCCATTGGATGGTGGTACTGAACACACACACATCATAATCGAACAAAGAAAAATGTTAATAATTTAACACACTGATGACAGTCATAGCATGTCTCGCAGAGACATTTTTATGTTTTGCCACAAATAGTTTTAGGCGCCTCGATGAAATCTATGGCATAGTCATTAAAGCACACAGTTCAGCGAACGGTTCGGCGGGAAAAAACCACACCAATAATGAAGTGTTGTAAGAAAACCCAGACGCAATGTATGAAAAAACTGAAAAAAAAACCGTCGGGAGGTCCTTCGACAGGTACTCTTCCCTCCTGCGCTCAGCAATGGATAAAGACGCACGTTGGACGAGTTGTCTGAACGTGCCGCGCTGTAATACGCGCGTCCATTTTTCAATTCAATTTTCCGTGTGGTCCCAAAAAACGAGGCAGCCTTGCCGACGCGCGTCCCGATGACGGTCCGGCAAGTGGGGCGGGATTGGGAGAAATCCCCAAGAACACCATTTAAGGGACCTTTCCCACCGCTGTTTTTGAGTTTCTGAGGTAGTTCCGTCTTATTCTTCCCAACTGCGTATGTTCTTCACTAGGGCATCGTTCAATCCCTCAGTAGTATGGCATTGAAATTTTCCGGACCCTCCCTAACTGTTGGGCTTAACCACCATAACGGACGGCGTGCGCAGACACAAAGTGGCGCAGCGACTATTTCTTTTGTTTTTGGAAAACGTTTCTAGCAATCTTACATATACCCATATATACTCTCAGCAATGTGGAATAAACATATCTCCCAACAGGATCTGGACCTGCTTGGATTTTTTGAAAAACCTCACATAAATTTACAACTACATTTTGTCTTAAGTTTAGCATAAGTTCAAATTAATTGATGGCTGGCCTTACCCATCAGTTCGCTACGTCCCGAGACCCCCTTCCCGCTAGAATATGGCCACATCTTGCTCGGGGTTGTTTGTTTTCACGATTTTTCGATAATGATCACCTAAACAGCTTCCATGCCATTATTTGCACCCTAGTTTTTTAAGAGCGGAAAGGTGAGCTAACGAACTTGTCCGCACCCGGAAATCTAACTTTTTCGGATGATGAACTCCGCACCTACTTTAACCCCGTCTTCACCCCTGCTGTTCACATAAGCCTAACATAAACCTACCCTGGTGCGGCGTGCGCCCACATGGTGGCGCACGCACAAATAACACTGGCCGTCGTTATGGTAAGTATTTGAAGTATAGGTTCTCTGAATACCCATTAAACCATGTGGGGAAGTTCTCACACAAAAACCCTAAACAATATAACAACAAACCAGTGGCCCTACATGCGAACCATGTAAACACGCACGCTGTCATAGTCGTGTTAGGCACAAATACTTCCACCAAAAGGCATATGAGTCGCGCGATACACAAAAAAATGTAACCTGAAAGAAAAATGCTGTTGAACATTCTGCTTCATAGTGAAGGAGCGATCACACTCATCGCAAATGAACTTCTTCGCACGAAATCGTTGAAATCTGAATTGCAGGAAACTAATCCTTCCTTTGTGAAAACAAAAAGCAATTTCCCAACTTTTGTCGAGGCTCCACAATTTTCGGTGATTCCGGATTCACTGGATCTGGTTTTTGGGAATGTCGGTCGTTAACAAAAATTTCCTAAGTTCTGCATTGTCAACAAGAAATCTACAGAAGAACATTCATTGAAGACACCTACCTTTATAAAATGAATTCCATCCACGTTTGCAGGACTATCCGCGAACACGTCTTCCCATGACTTGGTATGATTAAGTACAGAAGGAAAACATGGTTCGATGAATGAAGGGTCGAAGTTATGCTCCCACGTCCAATTTGGCCCGTATGCGAGCTGGAAATGATCGGGTGTGGTTCAGCAGGACAGAAAGCGAATTTTCCGCTTTACGCAGCGCGGAACATTTTTCGCACGGGAACCTCAAGTCCACCGATGATCGTGGGCTTTGGTTTTTGCCGCGGAAAAGGCTTAGCGAAAAAGCGGAAAATTCGCTTTCTGTCCTAGTGAACCACACCCAAAATGACCACACCTGTGTTAACTACATGCAGGTCATCATTGCTTGAAATAAAATTTCTCCTCTATGTCAACTATGCAAAAACACCTCGTGGAACTGAATACAAAGAAGCGAATGCCCGCATGAAATAAAGTGGTGCCCAAAACCTAAGGACGAATGTAGCTTTTGCATGATATTTCACTGCTGACAGTAAGTAGCATAGCTCCATGAATTTTGTTACATATATAGAAAGATTTGCTGCATATAGAGATCCATGTATAGTACGGAGGGATAGTGACAGAAACACGCAATTGGACGAACAGAAGCACACTTCTTCAAAGATAATGGTTACACCGCACATCACCTTCAGAAGACAGGACATGGTTCCTTGTAAAGTTGTAAACACTATGAGCTGGACAACTCAAAGAAAACGTCCTGCAGTACTTCCTGAACGCATTCCGGACGTGTTCGGTGAGATTTTATTCGAGGAAGCGGCTAGGCTAGACCAGTCCCTGAATATCTCGCATTCGAGAGAATCTCACTTGGTCTATTTGCTGCGGTCGCGCGTTGTTATTCATTCAAGTGAAGATGGAGCCTGATGTGTCTAAATAGGGGCGCTTTGGAAATAAGTACAGCATCACAGAAATGTTGAAGAGTGCATCACGTTTGAAGGTTTGGAGTCGATACGCCCCTGTAACATCAGATCTGATGGGCGACGTTTTGCCAGGTCGCGCGATAGTCGAATACTAGTCGATTCGCACGACTCGCTAAGTACGATCGCGGCGTGTCGCGGTACCAGCCAATGAGTTGATTCATGCGCGCCGTGACGCAGTACGACTAGCGGAATCGCTGCAGAGTCGCAGAGGACTGACATCGACCTTATGACCTACTGGAGCATGGTGACACCTAGACCCGGGCACATCATGCCCACAAAGCGTGTACCCCCCCCCCGCGGCTCGTTATTCACAAGTTCTCGGGCAACATTGAAAAGGTTTCTCGCCGCTTGCGCAGGGGTGTGGTTAAGCATTGTGTGACGGGAGACCATCCCCATGCGTGATTTACATTCTAGCTGCCTTACGATTTGTTGCATGTGGTCGCAGTTGCAGCCAGTGACAAATCTGGATCGATTTTGGCCTGTTGCAAAACATAGCGATCATCCGTTGCGTAGTTGACCACAGTTTGACCACCTCCTCTACTCCTCACAGCAGTGCTAGTGGTTTGCCCGTCTGGGGAGAAAGGTTGGTTCAAAACTTAGCATTCTCGTGAAACTAGTCACAAATTTTGAACGAGCCACATGGAGCGAGATGAGCCTCGAATACTAGCTACCGTTATAACAAGGATGGCGGTTACGAAGAACAAAGAATATTATGCTCGCAAAGATAATCCGCGAGAATCCGTGAAACTTCACAAAGGCATTCCGTGAAAAGTCGGAAAGGTATGGCGCATCTCAATTACCCTTATATCGGATTAGGTCAGCACAGCTGCACAGCAGTGCATAGTAAGAGCAAATCCAGCCAACGACGTCGGTTTAATAAACATAGCAAGGAAGGAGATTTAACGACAGCTAATCCGCAGTCGACTTTACTGCACTACTCACTCACACTAGGTATCTCAGGACCATCAACACTGTTAAAGTTCCGGAAACCGGAAAGTTCGAAATGGGAGATAGGAACGGAAAAGAAAACCGTATGGTAAGACTTCTTTCCATGGCTCTACTTCTCTATTGCAACGTAACACCGGAAAGCAAGCCAACTGTTTGCTAGTACAGGTATTTGATGTAAAAATAATAAATTTAATAGAAATGATTGTACTAGGCTGACTTGATAGGAAGCATGTATCTGAAACGACTCTCACAAAAACTGTATAAAATCGAGTCAAATGAAGCTGGAGTTTCGAGATAATTTATTAGTCTGACAAGTTTCCAGTGTTATGCGGTTCACAATGCGTTGGCTACTTACCTCGGAAGGTCCAAGAGGAGCGCTTTCTCCTACACGCCTGCATTCCGTGACTTGTTTGCAGCCGCAGTTTTCTGAATGATTGTCACAGTAGGCATGAGCTATAATGTTCCTTTGCTAGCTATAGTTCACTGTACTGCACAGCCGAGCCCGTATTACTATCTACAGAACACAACATATTTTTAAAACTGTCCCAACCTTTCTTCGTGCGCAATGGCGTGAGTGGAGTCGGGGAATTTTTTCACAATTCACAGAGAGCTCATGACCCACAGATACACTTGTAAAGAGGACTAATGAGAGAACTGAAGAGGTAGCTCTTCCTGGAGGTTTTTATAACACACCCACAAACAAGCTTTTGATGTTTTCCGATTTTTCAACAGCCAAAACATACCTCAATCACGAGTAGATAAAATGCTAATCGGAAAAGATCACAGAACTCATGATTGAAGGAGAGATCATCCAGGGAATTTGGAACCGAATGTGTAATTATAGCGCCAGCTAGGCCACAAATGTCGGACCAGCTACATGTTCACCAATGACAGCTAGCTGTGACATCTGAATTTCCAATCTCACTGGCCGATGTCAGACTTTGCGATTGGAGCGACGGATCGCTTGGGCGATGCGAGCGACGGGAGATTTACACCGCTGACCATCGATAATTCGGCGCCATCAGTTAGTTGATCTCCCTTTCGCTCGCACTGTGACGACGCGCTCGTGTAAATCTCCGTTCGCTCGCATCGCTGAGCGATACGTCGCCCTGCAATTGGTGCAAATCGCTCCAATCGCAAAGTCTGACAACGGCCATGCCATTGTTCAAAAACATGAGCATGAGCATTCGCGAAGGAGCAACGTGATGAACTTGAAGCTGCTTGAAAAGACTCGGAATAGTATTATGTGGCCGGAAAGTCTTTGGCCATTTGTCGAGTTTTTTTCTGGTATCATTTTTTATTTAGCACAGTAAGCATTAATAACATATGCCCATACTAATCGCCAACATATTGCCTTACGCAGGTAACTCGTGGAATGCCATTTGGTCGGAACATACTAAGGCTTTTCACAGCCTGAAAATCGCAGGAATTCTTTGCGACAGGTCCGGACTTGAGCTCTCCCTTCTTTTTTTGTTAAATTTAAGCGACAGCAGCGATGGACGTCTGTTAATAGCGAGTTTGCTGAACGCAACAGCGTTGGAGCAGCGCTTTCATAACGGCTTGAAGATCTTGCTGAACTTATTCCACATTTGGTTGCAAGGTTGGCTGCATAAACTTTGGCCAGTTTTTAAAACTGGGGCTGGCGAGCCCCATCGCCTAATATGCCTATATCGATTAAACAATGCAGTGCAGTTCTCTGGCTAGGAGCTGTTCATGTGAACGGATGCATGGAGCTTCAAGCAATTCTTAGTTACTCCAGGTTGCAGTGCTGGAATCGGCGCTGGGAGATCCTGTGACTACATGTCTAGGCTCACTGGAGCTTCGACTAGCAATCTTGACGAATACACTTTGAATTAACACAACAAAGTGGCTCGAGGTCAAACGCGAGACAGAAGCTGAATCAAAATGTCATTAGAAGCAATTGACGGCGGTTGTCACCCTTACACAGAATCTCCTTTAACCAATAATTTCTCTTCTTTTTGGAGAATATATTAAGTCCAGCTGATGTCATTATACTTGAAAAAAAATTGCGTCACGTTCCATGCACTGGTCCGTAGGCACTGGCCCTTTCCAAAGCAGTTCCAAAGACCATCGTCATGTCAGTGGAACCAGCCACCGATTCATGGCATTTTTCGAGTTTGGACTCTGGCGACGAAATGTTTGTCATGCTGCTAGAGGCACTTGCTGAGTTCCACAGGACGTAAGCACTTGCCGTATCGCTTCCACTGACGCATTTTCTGGGTTTTAGAAATGGTTTTAGAAATGGGCAACCAAAAGGGCTTTTAGTCGGAGGCGATTACCTCATTCATAATCCCTATGAAAAACCACGATTGAAATGCTATGAAGAGATCATTAACTACGGTTTACATAAGTTTTACAATGGATGTTCAAAAATTATCCCTGGAGTTTTCACAACATGCAAATCGAAATGTTCAAAGACATTCCCGACGACTACTGAATCAATAAATATATCCAGCCCCTTTCTACATATCAGATTGATCCCTCTAACTGCCAGGACCTCCGCTCTTTGCGTGGGCTCTACGCCTCGCGCTGTGTTCCCTTCCGCTTGCTTCACCATACCTCATGCGTATGTGCGAAAAGGTATTTCATGCAGTAGAGATAAATATCACTTCCGTAACATGTGGTTACAATGAGATCTCAACATTTAATTGGCTAGCTCCGTTAGCGGATGACTTTCCGGCGCCCTTCCTCAGTCAATTAGGCCGATGTCAGACTTTGCGAATTGCGCGATTCGCTAGCGTCTGCGGTCGCGTCGCGGCCACTGAATCACTCAATTGGCTGGTACCGCAACGCGACCGCGGACGCTAGGGAATCGCGCGAATCGCTAGTAACGAGTCGCGCGACTCGCAAAGTCTGACATCGGCCTTACCCTCCAGCTCCCACTGCAGCACCATGTAGAATGACACCAAGGGTTTGCCAGGTAGCTGTTTAGCCGTTGGAAGTGCTATCACAAAGATGCCATTGCAAAACCTTGTAGTGCAAGCCCTGCTAGCTCCCGGTTTTGTTCACGGTTTGTTCATTCTATGAGGTCCCAGGACATCTGTCAACCACGAGCCTTAGCGGTTCAGCGTTTGTAGAGATGTCTGGGAGCTTTCACAAGTGCGCATTATCACAGCATCTCCTCTTTCTTTATCTTCTTCAAAAGTTTGTCCTAAGAAGACCCAAAGTGTGTGACTTTCCAGCTACGCTCTCACCCTTTGGTTGACAAAAGCCTTGTAAGCCCTGTTCAGATGCATGACGCGTGTGCGCGAAAAAACGCATAGGCGAACAATGTGAATATGTATCGAACTTAACGAAGGACGCACAGGCGAATCGTGAAGATGGGAGGGCGATCGAACGAAATGAACGTACAATACGCATCGACTACGAAGCTTCGCTCACGCGATTTTCCGCTGGGCGCTCTCTCACATCGATACATATTCAAAACACTGACTGATAATTCGCTGCTCGGACGTTTCGCTTTACGGTTTCACAATGGGTCTCAGTCAGATGCGTATCTAATTCTTGGCGGAGCATTTTCGCTTTGCGCCGGCGTTTTTTTCTGCGAACGGCGGACATCATTATCTGAAACAGGGCCATAACCATTACCACGAGCATTCTTTCACAATTTTGCGGACGGCAAAGACGGAAATTTCAATAATGTAAAACTTACATACAGGTACACAAGTAAGCGTTATATGTAATGAGAGGAATATTAGTGCCATATACAGAGCATGATCAAATCATCTTCAGAAATAAGTTCCCACAATACGGACCTACGCGAGTGTCAAATGATTTCACAAGTTTGGACGCTCCTCAAAATCGCATACTAGGACATTTAGTCGAGCGAGCTACAAACAGGATCCTTACGACAAAGTTGGAAAATCTGCACAGCAGAGGCGACTGCATGTCTTACCTCGAACCGATATGGCTTCGAAGAGAAAGACGTCTTCCAATTTTAAAGAGACTTCGCGACTCTGCGAACCATCGACATGTGGATCAGATACACATGGATGGCTGCAACTGATCTGTGATCTTTGAACAGCAGCTGGTGCGATAGGACCCGACCCTAAGCTAAATTTCTGATAAACCATTCAGATAATTTTTCTAAACTTAGTTTGGTCTTCATAGAAATTACTACAACATCACCAATCAAAAGATATATTATCTCACCTACTGACGGTTCAAATGATGGGTGCATGCGAAATGACATAATCAATTACGACTGATCATACCATTAACTTATAACTATTGCTCCTATTTACGATACCGTAGACGTATCTCACTAGATGAATGCAGCCTCCAAAGCGTACACGCATCTCCGCTTGGACGCAAATTCGGAGACGTTTTGCGTCTTTCGAGATTTTATGCTCACGTTACACTATTGATTTATTAAAAGAATGGTTATAACAATTTTGTATTGAACTTGTCTTCTTTAATCTATTTAGATATGATAATCGAAAACTCCGATCTTGAAAAAGTTGAGAAATTGGAGATTATTTTGAATGTTGAGCTGAGTTTCATGCTCTCAACAACCCACATGACCTCGATGAACTTTGATGAAGTAGACTTACTGGGTGCTGTGTAACAAAACCGATCTTCGGGACAGACTGGGGGTAAGGTTAAAACTAGTTCCAGGTACCCTATAACACCTTTTATTTGTTAGGCAGACACGTATCGTGACAACGTAATAATGTCTTAATTGTGCTGTCTGCAAGCCTATAGACCAATATTGTATAACACAGAGAGGCACCAAAATTTTATTTCAAAAGAATTCCAATTTCTGCCTTTGTAGTGAAGAGAAACTACATTTCTTTTCACTACAAAGGCGCGGCTCCCGTAAGGGCAGCTTTACACTTGGCAGTGGCAAACACATGCCTGAAGAAGGTGTTGAACACCGAAATATCGCGGAGGATTTCAAAATGATTCTTTTTCGGATAGCTTTTTGCTCTTTTGAAACTTTCAAGTTTTTGAACTTTTGGAATTCTTTTGCAATAAAATTTTGGTGCCTCTCTGTGTTATACAATATTTAACGTAATAATGGTTTTTTTTGTGAGAGTGTGAATATTTTGAATACCATGTTTGAAAAAACCGCACCGAGGCTTGCGAGTTTCCTGAGCGAAGAAATTCGTCATCGTTCTCATATGCTCCTGCTCCTTGTTTCTTAAGAGAACGAAGTGGTACTCAGTGCGCTCAGCGGCGTCATTGCGTTCGGTTAGAGATCCCACTTGTTTGAAAAAAATTTTCGTTCACTACTCTTGTTTTCGCCCATTAGGGTAATGGTGTAAAAGTCATTGGAACTTCAACCAACGGTTTTCTTACCTTCACCGCTCGCTTGAGTGTTGGAAGCCAGTTTGATTTTATGATTTATGGTTCTGCTTGCTGCGCTCGCTTCCTCGCGCATAATATGAAAAGCTGCAGTGCAACTATCCAATGGCGAGGCCGTTAATTCTCACGACTCGTCACCTAAGGCATCCACTATTTTCACAATATAAAGTTTAGCGATAAATGGGCCCAGTAATGATAATGTAGTAAAAGTTCTTCATTAACCAGAAGTAGTCATCTAATGCTAGGGTCTTTTTGACTGATATGAAGTCGTTGGTTGTGGGCGCATGCATAGTCGGTCGTCCGATCGTAACGGTCGCGCAGCATTGGTTGCGTATCGATCGTCAGAAATGCCGTGATATTCAGCGATCAATATGTATCTAGCGTTGTGCGGCCGTTACAATCGTTACGATCGGACAACCGATTATGCATGCGCCCCGTGGGACGGATTGTTTTATTTTTTCTTAATCTGTCTCTCGTTTTTCGTTCCCATTTATTAGCTTTTTTGTGATGTCACCACTCTATCGTTCGTCGTCTGTTGTTTGGTCTTGATGTTTGCCATCGTTTTCATTGTCTTCACTTTCTAACACCTACTATTAATTTTTCTCCCTTCCCCCTTCAACCTCTCGTATTATTTTTTAATTAAGTCCTCCAGTCACCGGCGACATCGCTGTTCCTGCCGATCTTTTATGCCTTCCGCTCTGCTCGCTTCTATTTGTAGTTCAATCCCACGGCTGCGTACGATGCTTACGGGCAAAGTGGGGACCACATAGTAAAGGGTGTTTTCGTAATTATATCATAATGTTGGAATGAAGCCTCAACCCAGATTGGAAGCTCGGGTTGTTGACGCTGGTTTGGCACTCCCCTTCCTTCTGAGTTCCCCTCTCACCTTCCCCTCCACTCTCCTTTATTAACGACGGCAACAACATAAAGGATTGTTGCTGGAACTGTACCTGCTAGTTGCTCTTTATTAACAGTCGGAGTGGAGTCATTATTCTGCGTTAAAACAGTTTCTCAACACTGGTTTAATCCGATGTTCCCAGTGCCCAAAATTTGATATTTCTTTCGTGTTTTTTTATTTTTTCCGTCGCAGGTGTTGTTGCAATGTCTAAAAAATTACTCTCCCTAAATGTTTCTTTTTCGATTCTCCATGGTTTTCCCAACCACTGAGTTTGCAGGTGTTTCAGTGGCAGTGCAAAAGATTTAAAGCTAACTAATAAGGTAATTGCAAGTTTTGAGGTGGACGATCATGACGTGAAGTCTTGATTTCGAGAAGCCATGGCGTATTAACACAAGAGCACAACTATGACAACAGGGAAGGAGGAGGCTGAGACGACGTTGGTCGATTACTTCGTTGTAGCTGGATACGATCCTGATGTTGGCCTCGTGGTAATTTCCTTTTTTTTTCTTAAAAAATACAATGAAGGTTAGCTCATTCTTTTTCAGTGTGCTGGTCATTTTTAGGTTGATACCACTTCTGAGGATTGTGTTTGGGAGGAAGAGAACGGTTTAACACCAAATTCGGAAGATCGTAGACCACCTCTTCAGAGATCTTTTGTGGCAAAAATTTTGCAACACTTTCCACAGAAACGGGCAGGCGCACCATTCTCCGATGAAGTATTGTCGGTGAGTTGATCTGGAAAAATACTGTTCGGTTTCAAGTATTCAGTATAAAGTTACAGTCGTTTTTTTTCAGTTATGCATGCCTAAAGGTCTGCGTTTTTACACAGAAAAAGACGTCCCATTAAACGTTTCACTTCATACCTTTGCAAACATTCGAGAAGATGGTACTCGCATCAATGGAACGGTCATAACTTATTATGAGGTTGTGCTTCTCCATTTGTTACTTTTATTTTTTTAGTTTTTTTTGTGTTTGCTTAATTTACCTGTTAATATATTGGGTTGGAGCATAATGTCGTAGTGTTTTTCTTCTCGAGCTACGAATTCAGTGAATACAAGTATTGCCAGGAAATCACATATATCGTTTGAAAGCACTTCTGCTCTACAATACCATGTTTGGCGTTTTCTTTTATACTGTAAGAGTACTCAGTTATGGCGCTTAGAAGTTGGAGAAGCAAGGTGGGCGAAAATCTGTATTGAGAAAAGAGCTACCAAAATGGGAGTTTTTCGGAATCCACCGTCATCATCGAACCTTTTCTAGTCGACCTTTAATTTCGAATCATATTCACGTCGTACAAATTGAGAAAAAATGAGGATTCTTAAAGGGGGCTCACTACCTTTTTTGATTTCTAAACCCGGTAATTTCTTTCGAAATGGCACCAAAGTCGTAAATAATGACGAGAAGAACATCGCTGATTATTTGCATGCTTGGCATTGCTTTTGGGTTTTGCTTTGAACGTTTTTGCCGAACGCTAGCGCTACGATATTATGCTACGACCCAATACATTTTCGGGTCTTTACTAAGCCTTTTTGCCGGACTAGTCATAAAGATAAATCTGCAGTAATTGAAGACTGCATTCAAACCAGAGAGACTAAAACAAAAGATTTGCAATATTTTTTTTTGAAAACGACAGGGTTCGGAAAAATACGGCCGTGGAAGTGTTTTTATCTTACTCGTCTACAGTTCAACGGATGTGGCTCACTAGGATAGAAAGCGATAATTCGATTTTCTTTTCACGTGAAATCTTACACTGCGGGAACTACAGGAGATTTGTGTCAGGAATGGGTTACCGCAGCATTCGCACTACTTAAGGTGATCAAGTCGTTACTGTTCTAACGGCCCACTCCCCAGTTGAACGCTTTCTTTCCTAGCGATCCACTCCCCAGTTGAATGTTTCTTTGGACATTTCGTTCCGGTATTATTGATATCACTATTGATTCAAAGCTTCAGGTGGATGGAAATAGAGGGGCCATGGCATAAAATGGATGTCTGATCCGATGAATGTACAAACGACAGTGACACGCGGTCGCGTCTGCACAGCAGGGTGAATAACGGTCGAGGAAGTCCTCGACCATAGCTCTCTACCATGCGAGAGTAGTGTCGAGAGTGAACTTTCGCGCGCCGCAGACAAAAGCGCCCCGCGCGAGCCACTGCGGAGCAGCTGTGAATGTCCGGCGAGAGATCCGTCTCTGATCGGGCAGATGAAATCTCCCGACGTGCGTTGAGCACCCCCCGACACTCTCTCCGCAATCTCACCCTGCTGCACAGTCGCCAAGTCAATCCTTCTTGCGAAACACGACCTTGCCTTATACCACGTACTCTCCTGACCCGGGCGTCGTGGCGTGTGCGTACAGATGTGTATATAGCGCGCAACACGCATCCACCTAAAACGCATGTTTTGGTGCGGAAATACCAGACAGGTATCAGAAGGTACCAGAACAAAGCCCGTTGCAACTGTTGCGCCGATTAGGACAACACTGCGTTTTTTCATGGGTGATATGTTTGGTGCCGCACATTCCTGGCGTGGATTATGGGACTTGAGCTGCTGAGCTTATCTGTCTCACGGCGTTTGGCGCAGTCTGAAAGAGGCGTAGTACCACATATTTCAGCAACTTGGTCCGTAGCGTAAAGGCAGGCTCCATTACGAATAGAGAGAGGAGTTGTTGCAGGCTTGAACTGGGTCCTGTGGTCCATTCCTTACATGTTTTCTGGCTACATCAAGTGAAAGGATAATGGCCAATGAACTGGATTTTCTACAACCTATTCTCGGTCTGAAGTCACTGGGAGAGTAAGATTTGGATGTGTCTCTAGCTCGGAAGGAGTGATTTTATATGATGACACGCCGCGTACCGCCGCTGCGCAAGCTCCTATTCTCTCGTGAAATTTTGTGCCACCAAAATTTTGTAACATACTACAAATTTTCCACAATTCTTCTCAATTTTATAAGGATTTGAATCTGTAGGAAGTGAGGGATCCTCGCATATGTGAGGCGATGTCACTACTTCACACTGAACATGTGCGGAAGCTAACAGCTGGCGAACCTCCACTTGATCGAGAACGAACTCACGTTCCTCCCGGGACTGTTTCAGGTGAAGCACATACCGATTCTTCTTGTTGATGTTTTTATGGTCGCTTAATTACAGGAGGCACTCACACGCTTCCGCGTGGAAGAAGGAATAGAACGAAACGTATCTCTTACTACGATGGCGGCGGTCATAATACGTTGTTCATGTGTGTTTGAGATTTACTCCATTTTACTCCGGCGCATTTTATGATTTTTTGACGTGAAGCTAGAGAAACGATAATGCATCACTGTAGTTTTTCAAATGTACTTTTCAGGAGCAAAGCTTTGTGTCTGATTACTCGATTGCCTTTGGTCTTTTCAACAACAGCGATTCTAAGGGCAATACATGAATTGCTCACGAGTACCTCTCAACCAGTTCTGCCTCTGGAAAGTTATATTTATTGGATTCTTAACGAAATACCACTCCCATCGCCAGGGACGACCTTGAAGGTTAATCCGTTAATCTCCTATTTTTTCTTGTCCTTTAAACTCTGCTGTCTCATGCTCGCTGTGGCTTGAAGGTTTCAATGCTTGACGCCACAATTCTCGTCCAACGACCAGGCTCTCGAGAGTTACCTTTATTTGACGACTCACTGGCATCGATGTTTCAGGTGGCTTTTCTACTTATGTTTCGCACTTTTCCGAGTTTCTTGTTTTTAAAGTGGCGGTTTTAGTACATTTCGGTGGAGAAATTTCTTCGGTTGTTTGCTTGTTTCCTGTTAGAACATCAGATATTGCTTTGTTCAAAAGGTAAGCAGAAATAAGTTCAAATCGTGTGTTTTTGTTTTACACAAATTGACCATCTCATCCGTCAAAGTAATTCGGCATGCAAAAATAATTTGATATATCAGATTATTCTCGTTTGATGTGTGTTAGTGAATCCCTATGTGCACTGGCCTTTCCTTTCCGATGGCAAATGGTTTACGTGCCCATATTGCCTTATTCCCAGCTGAAGTTCGTCGAGGCTCCTGTAAGTTTTTACGAGTGACTGCTTCTCCTTATAACTTCGCGTTCTGCGCTTCTAATAAAAATACAGTGGTCCAAAACAAAGTTACAAACTCAAAAGCTGATGTTTTTTTTTCAAGGTGCCATACGTAATGGGTTGGTGTTATGAGGAGAGTGTACCGGAATTTCTCTTTCAATCGAATGTGTGTGTACTTGATATCGACACGGGACGCACAGAATTCCCCGAAGACCTTCCTTCGTTTCCTGGTGCTAAACAATTGTGCCAGGAAATCAAGTTGGCTATAGAGAGGTAAAACGGATTGAGAACGTTGTTGAGGCGGATAAAATTCTCCAGTATCACGATTTAAGGTACTCGACTTGGGATGACATGTCGAAATCCGTTATTGGTGGTGCAACACCTTCTGGTTCTCCAGCAGTCACAAACCGCAGTAATAATACTCGCCGAACCGAGGAATGGTCAGCGAAACGGATGAGCCGTTCTTTTGATAGAGACGACGTCATAGATGATGTTATCAGTGGGTCGCATCTATTAATCATTCCTTCTGACTTCAAAAGGCAGAGGTATTCTATAATTTCTTTCTCTCTCATAATTGATATTTTAAGGTGAGTCAGTACTTCTTTCGCCACGCCCATCTCGAGCTGACCTCACACCACTACCTTTAGAAGGCGTCTTGAAGAACAACTCCACCGTTGCCAGGTAAGTTTATTAGCACGCGTGCAAACCAGGTAGTACGATAACAGAAGTACGATTTAGAGTAGCAGAGATAGCTCGGCGTGCTGGCGTCCTTATAGACGTTCAGGATTTGGAGAACGAGTTGTCATGTAAGGATCAATATGCAAATTCACCAGTTTGTAAACAGTATTTCCAGGTCAGTGGCGGATTTCATTATCAGGCTGTAGCGTTTTCTTGTGAATTTACATGTTCAATTTTTTTTGTTCAGAATGCTCGACTCAATAATGCTATTCGTGAATGCGTTTTAAACAGAATTGTGTGCATGTTATATTCTTATGAGCACTTTGTCGTTGGCGGGCAAGGTTGCACTGATAGAGAAGCGTTTGACGACAGCAGGTTGACATCAGATTAGTGCTTTGATTACTCTTTTGATTGTTTATCTTCAGGGATAGTCTTGTCTGCTTTGACAAGGCCTCCTTTTTGTCTGACCAGCCCGACAGTCACTTAGCTTTCCTCGCCGCTTTCCTGGAAACACAGGTGAATTGTCACAAAAAACATTTAGATTCGCATTGCAGTTACGTAAGATTGGATAATTTAGATGTTTACATCATTAATTGATGCGAAGATTCTCTCGCAGTGGGAAGCTCCTGATGAAAATTTGGTTCTTTTTGATTCCCGCATTGCTGCCATGCGTGAGAAGCTTGGTCTTTCAATGGTTCGCACGCCCACATATGAATCGACACCTCCGTTTGCTCATACAGGTGGTTGACCGTTGTTTTGCATACCTTGTGATCGCTACCGTAAAGAATCGTTGCAGAGGAATTGATTTCGAAGCGGGAGGAAACGTTGGACTACGTTGTGCCTGGTCCGCATGAACTTGCTGGAGCTGTACCCATGAGATATGAAGGCGTTTGGCCAGACCAGATCAACACGGCTCTACTTGAAGGCGCCATGGGGCTCAGTCCAGCGCCTAGTCCGTGGAAGCAGCGCTATCCTCGTTTGAGACCTAAGCAACAGGAGGTATGGGAATTCATCAGCACATGGATCTTATAAGTTTCACCAATGAAAAATAGTTCCAAATCGGTTTTTCCTCGCTATCAAACCATTTTCATTACGGTGCATACTTTTAGTGCAAATGTTTTTCAGGCAGTGGGAGCTACGGGTCGCCCAAGTAGCACATACGGTGGAGCAGGCTTAGTAGGCGACTCTCCAGCTTTGGTTGCTCAACAGCAGCTGAAGTTTGTGGATCAGTTACTGCGCGAGACCAAAGGTTGTTGCTGTTCTTATTTTTCGGAGAACTTCTTTGCAGAACTCTTAAGGCGTGATTTAACAGGCAAGACGAAACGCATGCTAGTGGACAAAATGGGAAAGGAAGCCGTACAGTTAGGCCACTTAGATGCTGGTATAACAGGTGTTGAGGAGAACACACTTGTAGCATCATTCTGCGACCTGCTCGAGAGAATATGGGCGCATGGTTTAGTGAAGAAGCAGGTGAACAACTCGTCTTTCTGCCTTTCGGTTTTCTGTACAATGTCCCGGCTACGTTATCAAATACGATTGCTCAAGCTCATTTTCAGGGGAAGTCCTCGCTCTGGAGTTTTGTGCTTCAGCATCAAGATCTCGAAAAGGCTTGTCTCTCAACGCGAACCATGTCATCATCTATGCTGACTCCAGGTACCTTTTTTATGATATTTGCGCTTGTTTTCGTGAACGACATGAATGTATGTACAGGATTGGTCGTTATAGCATTTAGTTTCTTCTTCCAAATGTTGTACATTGTTATGATATGATACCTTTGTGCTGTTTTCAATCTTCTTTATTTTGCTCCAGCTCTAGCGTGGCTGGTGTTCAGGAAGCGTCTAGAACGTAAGGTTTTCAACGTTAGGCGAAGTGTGCGTAGGCTGCTGTAAAAGGGAGATGATTATTGGCTGTTCCGCTGTGACTAGTTTGCTAAGCAATTTGATATGCGGTGTAATGTGGATGTTGTGCTACTGCCGCACTATAAAGGTATACTTCGCGCTGCTTCACTGCTAAAACTGCTTACATGAAAGGGAGAATGCTACTTGTTCGATTCAACGTCAAGAAATTCCGCGACAAGTAAGTGCAATATCAGGATAACGCTATTTGGACCATTCGCGCTCAGAATAACAACCCCAGATCGATTTGTTGGGGTGACAGCGGTCGACAGGGAGTGGATAACGAGTTGACTTTTATGGAAAAGGAAGCAAATCAGACTGCCGACGAGGCCCTTACACACAAGGAACACCTTCCTCTCCTCAAAATGAGGAAGGGCATGTCGAACGAGTTGTCTGAACTCGCTTGCTCCTGCTCCACCAACCCCCGGCATATTTAAATTAACCTCTACGTCGTAATCTACATCGCTTGGCATTGGGTGTTAGCGAGGTAACTCGTTCATTAGCCCATTAACTCACCTTGTATAGCTCCAATGCCATTGTCGCGCACTTTCAAACCGCTACAGCCTCGCTTCTGAATCTCGCGGGCTACTCTATCCTACCCATATAATACTTGGGATGGTAAGAAAGCCCTGAGCCGATTTTTTGAAAGCTCCAGAACTTTCCTTAATTGATGGATACCCAGAATCTGCTACGTGATAGACTATCGCTGTCGATCATACTTCTCCGTAGTAGGTATATATAGCCGGGTTGCCTTCTTTAACTTTAATCATGATGGCGATTCTACAAGAACACTTTTGAGCGATCATCTTCAATGAATGGCGCTGCGGCGCAGGAGCAGTGGGAACCGTCAACATTATCAGCATCGCATTGGGAAGGGACACCACTTCCATCATTAGTGCCAAGCTCTGGTTCGTAGGCTTCGGAGGGGGAGACACGGCTTTAAAGGAGGCAAGACAAGGTTGAGGTTGGAAAGCCCAAAACGGTGGAAGACTCCACCGTTTTCGGCGCTGTTGAAGAGGATTCGGAGGTTAGCACCCGCAGCCTTGTGATAAGACTCGGGCACCCATTAGTCAATTTCTCTTTCTTCGTCCGCAGCGAAAGGAGTTTTTGGAAGGCGTGATTACAAGAGATGAAGAGATGAGTTTGGTCCTCTACGATTCTAACAAGCACAGTGCCGTGTGGCTCCCCCGAGGAGAAGACCCGCCGATACAAGCAAAATCGGACCTTCACCCCAAAAACTGTCTTCTTTGCTACCTTTGGGATTTTTGAGGAATGCTGTATTATGAGATGCTCCCGCAAAGACATACCGCTACCGGCAGCGTTTGCACCAGTCAGCTCCAGAAACTAGCAGACGCTGTTCAGGAAAAATGACCGAGATGGACTTCTTTCCAGCTACTCCACGATGACGCCAGGCCCGACATAGCTAAAGAAACCCTGCAAAATTGGAGGAGCTGATCTGGGACCCGATTTCTCACCCACCCAATTCCCCTGACATTGCTCTCTCTGATTATCACTTACTTCATTCCCTCAAGGCATTCCTAGCAAAGAAAAAATTCGTCGAAGTTGAAGACGTTGAAAGAACGGTCAGCGATTTCTTTGACTTTTAGTTTGCTCAGTTCTGGGAGGAGGAGGTCGCTGACCTGCCCATTAGGTGGGACTCTATCGTGAGTAACTATGGTTATTATATAGTTGAGTAGATTCCATTGTACGCAGAATAGAAAAGTAAAGCACAAAAAGTGTCAACGGCTCAGGACTTTCTTACCATCTTAATAGATCGTGACACGACATATCTGGGGTTGCTGCTTTGAGAAGGCCTGTAATTCAAAAAAAAAATTTGGATATCGTTTTGATGCGAGTTGTACTTCTGCCTCGAAGTTGTTAAGGTGGAAGACCTATGCCGGTCAACGTTTCGACCGTCCTGTCGTTTCCAAAGGCCTGAACATGGCTTAAAGCTTGAGAAGTGCACACTACCCTATCAAACGCCTCCTCCCCTTTAGCGTTTCTGAATTCCTGTTAGGTGCGCACGGAAAACCCCAGAATTCAAAAGATAAGCTCATCTTGTCCCACCATGAAGTGTTGCACTACACTCTTTGTTCTTGCGGAAATTAGTGGCATCTCCAAGTTCATATGTGAGTAATTTGCAAATTTAGCCGACCTTGCGAAGTATACCTTTGATTGCGCAGATACAGCAGTTACAGCGGCGATTGTCTGCTCCTTTACTACTGTTCAACGAGTACTCCTTAAAGCGAAGCGCTCCATTCGGGATTCGCTCTCGTTGTATTCAAGCCATGAATGTGTTTGTGGAACCTAGTGACAAATTCGTGAATGGAGCGTTTTGCTTGAAAACCGCAGAACGTTGGAAAGGGTTAGAGCACCGTCGTGACTGTTATCATGAATCAGATTGAAGTTTTCTCGTGACAGACTCTATCGGAAGCCTTTTAGTAATTGACAAGTTTGTTCATGAGGCTTGTTGATACCAGTCGAATTTAGCTCCCATCTAAATTTCAGTTTTTTTTTTCACAGACAGTCTGATGCGCAAGGTGCCCATAAATGTGGTGACAGAATAATCGTGTACTAGAAAAAGTAATCTGAATAGAAGCACAGTTAAGCTCTTGAGTTATTTTATTTTTGCCCTAACAGCGGAATGACCGCAATACCGTTCGCAACGTCTGCCGAATGGAAGTTTTAGGCTAGGCAAGGTATTCCTTAGGTGGTCCCCCCTCCTTTCCTCCCCAATAAAGGGAAGAGGTTCTCATTCATTATCCTCACCATCTTCAGATAACGTCATCTGCCATCATCGGCGAGCTTAGGGAATCCTACCGTAATCACTCCAGCAAACTGCTACATAATTTTTTTCAATTAGTTAACTGATGGCTTAATTGGTTAACTGTAGGGTAGCTTCTCAGAAGCAGTAACTCCGACTATGCTACACCCATGCCGAACAGCGTGTCAGATAAAGTTGAAGTGGCTTTCGATCAGGACCTCGTTGGGCCTGACCCATACAGCATGTTCCCGTGGAAACATCTTCTGATGTCGTCGGGTAGAACGCTTTCATGAAGTTTTTTTCTTTGATCGATTGATGTGCTCTTTAACGGTAGTTGGGATCCTTCGGTTTGACCTTGGCACAATGTAAGTAATTTTGTTTCAAATGTAGTATTGGAATTGCTCGTTCTTATTGCTTCCCTACTTGTAGTTGTTTACAGCAGCTTTTAGAGACTTTAAGTACGCGCCTTCCTCGCCTTTACTTTGTTAACATATTTATGGGGCACAAGAATGTTTGATTAATCGAGTTAGGGTTTCCAACACGTTGTTCTTGAATTAGAGCGTTCTATGGGCTCATTTTCCATCGCATAATTCAATTAAGGATTTCGGAAGAGTCTGCTAATAGTATAGTTTCGATTCAAAGTTCTGCTTATTGTGTTAGATTGTGATTGTGGTGGAAGTAGTGTTTGTACCAGGCGACGGTCAACGAGGCGCAGTGAAGCGAACTCCGTCCTTACCGCACTGCGAAGTGCCGGCGCCAGTGATACTGCAACCGGCGAACGAGAATGATTTCGCTGGTGCTTTGTCGGAAATCGTGGAGTCGATTCAACGCGAACTTGGCAAAGGAGACGATGAAAATGCACCAGCGTGGTCTCGTTCAATCTTACGAGCCGCCAATTTCCTCGCTGATAAGTTGACCAACGTACCCAAAGAAGAACCTCGAGGCGCTCTTTCCACAGCTTTCACAGTTAGGCCACCTACACATTCACAATCGATGATGAAGAAATCAAATTCTGTTGGCGGTGGGTTCAATAGGATGTTGCATGCTGTTTATAGCTAATTTTTCTCCACACTTGAAACGCTCTTATAAGTGGAGCTCACGACACTTGCACGTCTCACATTTTTCTGTGTCTGCATGATTCTTCAGTGATATGACCTATTCGTAGGAAATGTTTTTGAACTCTAAACTAACAAATTGTTTTTGTGAGAACATAATTGTCCGGAAGATGCACAGCATTGGCTTTCTAACGGGCGACTTGTGATTTTGGCTATCGCTGCTTCTGTATGTGTTGTGCTTATTGTACGGACTATCACTTTACTCGATTATTCAGACTTCACAAACTCCAGCTGGAATAGTGAGATTGGGGTCAATCCGGAGATCGCTGGCTCACCCCGAAGACGATCTCAAAGTCGACCGCGCAGTCCGGAGACGGGTGCTCGCGTGGTATTGGCTCCCCTTCCGACTCACGTTGCATATGATTTGAAGTTTGTCTTTCGCGTTGATATGTTTTCGCGCATAGATTCGAAAATTTCCTATCTCTCAGGAATGTTTTGCGGATGACGGAAATCAAAACTGATATTGGATATGCTCGCGCGTTTGTTCGTCTTGCTTTGGAACGCAAACTTCTTCATCGTCATCTTGCTACACTCCTGGGAAACAGCAGATTACTGAGGTGTGTTCCTTCTATTGTCAGCCGGTCTTCATCAATTACTATTTAACACGTTGACGACAGCGTGACGCGGCAACGTGTCCCACCTAAGTCATCCCTTTTTGTTGCGCTTATGCAACTTACACTCACTCCTAAGGTCTTACTCTAGCACATACATTAGCAACTCAAAAACCACATGGCTCACAGAAAGGCCAAATTTTCTTCAGTTTGGCAGACGTTTGCCAGACCTTACGGATATGTCTGTTCAATTCATTCCTAGTTTTCTTTTCAATAACGTAGACAATCCTGATAAGCTAGACAGATCGAGCACCATTGAAAATATTTCAAAGCATCTAAGTATTGCGGATTTATAACTCAAAATCCATGGATTTGGTGTGCGGCGGCTGCGCTCGCAAAATCGCTCTTGTCCCACGAGGTGCAAAAGCACAAAACCCGCGATGTTGTCAACGTGTTAAGTTATAGTAAGGCGGTTTGATAGTATTCGACAAATCGACAAAATACATTAAAAAACAGACATCTCTTCAAGCGAATTGCTCTTTTCTGGGAAGGTATAGTAGAGCAATTCACGACTGTGCCGTTGTATAGAGGGCTAGGGACTTTTGCACGCTATGAGTAATTTCTTGTATCAATGATTGCTTGTTCCAGCCTAGGAGCTCTGCCTGTGAAAGAATTTTGACACTACAGGTGCAAAATATGTCCATCAAACATTTTACTAACTTGGACCAAGCTGCAATATCCAGTTAGCATGTGGAAAGAAGCTTCTGTGCCTCCGATACTCTTCGAGAGTTCTGCAGAACTTGTCATGGTGAAAACGTGAACGTCTATTCTGCATCTGCTGAAAGGGCTAGAGTCCAACGGCACGCACCAGCAGTAGGGGTGGCCAGTCGTTAGGCGAGCAGAAGAACGAGGCATGTTCGCGGTCGGCGCAGAATTTCTTTACACTAGGCAAATTTGTCCTTGTTCAACTGGTTTTTCTCATTCATCTTTAAAGTAGTCTTAGAAATCAGTACCTGCAAGTCTTTGGATCGTTCCATCGGAGTTCTTAGTTCTGATATGGGGTATATTACAAAATAAATGTGTATAGTGCTTCATCTCATCAAAGTGCCACTACAATAAATGCTAGTAGTAAAAAGAAGAATTTGGTTGCCTGATTCGTCTTTGAACTAAATTTGGTTTTATCACGCAATTTTGTACTGTATTTGAGAACATGTTCGATTCTTTATGACTAACAATAAGTTCGGAACAAGGCCGAAGTGGTGTAGTGGCAAGTGGCACGCTTACAACGCGAGCGGTCCGGGAATCAAATCCTGGGTCGTGAGTCGCCCGGGCCAACCAAGCCTTCCATCCCTCCGGGGTCGGTTGATTGAAACTAGACTTGTCTGGGAGGATAAAAACACTGACTTGTACATCGGCTGGCCGCTGCAAGCCATTGTATAGGCCACATCGCATTCAAGCGCCACTGCGAATATTCAAATGGAAGTAGAATGCGCGCCGCATCCCAAAAAGGGATTGATCATCGGCAAATGCTTTGGTATGTTTTTTTATCCTAAGTCCGGAACATTGGGAACGAAAACTATGAACTCACGGGGAGTCGTGTGATTCATTTTAATAGCTCAGCTGTTGAGGCTCAAAAATGCTTAAAACGCACACGTAAAAGGTGTTTCTGGAATTGAACGTACGAAAGCATGACTCTTAAAAACGCTCCGTGGAACAATAAGTGCCAGGGTGGCACGCGGCAACAAACAAGCGGGAATCATACAGTAAAACGGCGAATATATGCATTTACGTTTTATGTTTATTTATAGCGATAGATAGGGCTAAAGGGGGTGTGAGAAATAGTTGTTCTGAACTCATGGCCATTGCACGTATGGTTCCCCTTCAATAATTCAGCGTGTGATTCCATCATTTTCCAGTCTTGATTCGACTCTCATTTAGCGGTTTTGTGAACTCTTTTTGGACGGCTAGTAGTTGTAGTACCTGATCGCAAGTATCAGAAGAAGACGTTTGATGATGGTCAGCCCGTTTGCGGAATGCCCCAAGCGTTTGACTTTCACCAACAACTTAACGATTCGTAATGTGTGGCGAATCTACGCCATGTTTTGCAGAAGCAACTGTAGAAATACGTGATTTTTTTACACTCTAATGTCTGGGGCTATTTATCCGACCCTGGAGGCGCTGTTCGATCCGTAATGGAGTTGCAAAAATGTAGCGGAAATTACACTACACATCACTGTCCCACTTCCGCCATGCTTACTCTATTGACTTGTTAGATTAGCAGGACTTCATCCAAACTCCTCCATTCTCCCATCATGGAGTTATGTGCATTAAAAGACAATGACGACGACTATCATTCAGTTATGTTCCACCCGGTGGACTCTATTTCGAGAAATCTTCATTAACATAGGTTATTCCAATTCTTTCAGCGAGCTGTACAAACAGTATGCTTTCGTTCGATGTGAAGATGAACGTGAACAGTTTCTCTATCACATACTGTCTCTCAATGCAGCTCAGTTTCGCTGCTTCACGAACACTTTCACCAAAACAAGTATGTTGATTACTAGTTGAAAAAACGAACATGCATGATGCTGATATCTGAAGTGACGTCTTCTTATCTGTTCGCTGTTTGCTGGTTTGATAGAAGTGCTACAATCCTTGAAAACTGTTTACCATGTCAGAGTGAACTTGTTTTAGAGATGGATTACCAAGTCGTCATAGTAACTGGTGGGTGGAGAGGGTCATTACCTGCTGTTTGGGTTACAGTAAGTGTTCTTTATGGAATTCTTCTTCGGACTATTATCACCTCGCTGTGTATTATTATTATTGCGGTGTCATTTAAGGTTGGAGGAAGTTTATGCAGTAGTCCTCAAATTAACTTGCCGGCGAACACGCCCCTGTTCAAGTTTGATGTGAGAAATTCAGCGAATTTTTTTTTGTAACAGATTAAACATCGCCTCAAAAACCATATGACCGTCATAACTAGATCTATTTTAGCATAAAAACCTCGGAGTGTTGTCCACTCTTCGGATAGGTCACGCATCTGGCTCTGAGAAACCTCCGAAATGGTACCTGGAGTATGTAAGTGATTGAATACCTATTTTAAATGGTTCAGGTGGTGGATGTCAAGACTCAGAGATAGTGCTGTCGCGATAGGGCTCTCGGGAAGGATAGCATACGGCTCATTGACAGACATACAAACAAGCACACCGAATTTTGTTTTATCTTTAGTAGTGTTGACTTTGAATTGTGTCCCCGAATCAATGGAATAAATGACTCCAGGTGTTGTTTCGACCCTTTTGTTTAAATTCTATCAGGAGGAACATATCTGATTCCATCAGAGACACTCGGCTAAATCGCACGTCCTTCTACAGCACTTTTAAAATGCAGAAGCATCCGATGGCCTAATCTTTTTGTGTTTTATATAATGAGTTTAATACAAGTGTAATACTCAGGACACAGAATTGGTTTTATATGCTGTTCAAATCAGTATATCGATTTTCGTGACTGTTTTATGTAAAAGTACAAAATAAAGGATAAAGCTTTTGCCGTTGATCAATCCCGTCTTGGGATGCGGCACGCGTTCTACTTCCATTTGTGCTTACTCCATTCGTAGTGGCGTTTCAATGCGATGTGGCCTGTACAATTACTTGCGGGGGCCAGCCGATGTTCAAAAAGTTTTTATCCTCCGAGATAGGTCTGGTAGCAATTAACCGCCCTGGAGGGATAGAAGGCTTGGTTGGCCCGGGCGACTCACGGCCCAGGATTTGATCCCCGGACCGCTCGCTTGGTAAGCGTGCCACTTGCCACTACACCACCACCGCCCTATGTAGAAGTATGTTGTTTATACAATGGAAACATTGCATATAAATCGCTCTATTTGAGGTAATCGTGCGGAACGAGATCACAGGTCAGATGTACCGATTTCCTTGTGGACGATGGTTTGGCCAGGGCGTTGAGGACAGTCGCTGGTTCGGTAATGGCTGCGACGTCAGCTTAGAAAGGTGTCTTCACGTTACGTTTTAGACTGCCACGCAGTGAAACGCCAATGCCTTTTCGGGATATAATTTTCCTGCAAGTGTTCTAGTAGGGAGGATGCATTTATGTGCTTACAATGAAAATCTATAATAGCAGCTATTTCTTCAGTTTTTAACTTTTTGTTACTAGCAGAGGCCGGCGGTGGAGAAATCGATAACGATATATGATGTCGTTCACTGTCTTTTAATCAGTCGAGCAAATTTCTTCACACCAAACAGCATAGAAGTTGAACATACAGAGAGGGCCAATAAAAAAGACATTTTGTCTCCGCATTCAAATGGATTTAATTACTCTCCGCTCAATTCAAACCGAATGGTTCCAACTTAGAATAGAAAAGCACATTTCATTTTATAAGAAAATCTTCATGTTAGCCGCCTAAGTGGACGGCATCAGAAAAATTCGCTCCGCCAATATGGTGCACTGTTGAGCTCAATGGGGTCCTCGAGGGATCGTGTCGCAGAGCTTTACTGAAAAGCGAGTTTCAAGGGGACTTGCCTAGTGGGAGCTGATGTCCAAGGGAGCAATCCTACATTGATTCGATTCACGAAATCATATAAAAGCTTCAGGCTAAAGCAGTTACGATAGCCCTCCTTGAGCTTGACGTAGATGACAGATGACGTCATATTCTGAAGACGGTGAGGGTAGTTAAGGCGGGTCTGCATCTACTTATAGAGGGACATTTAGGGAATATTCTGCTGGGGAACTTCCGTCAACGAAGGAAGCGTCTGCGAAGAAAAAGGAGCCCAAGTGTGACATGGGCGAAATGTATTTTTGCCCACCCCCCCCCCTGTATAGGCAGAAGGGTCCAAGTAATAAAAGGTTGGATACGATTGGTGTGAAACAGTGACCTAGAATTGGCAAGCCGGCGAGTTATCGCGAAGGTGATAAACGAAGCGTATTAGCCTCATCACGGCGCACTTTAAGGTAGAAGTGCAGGGAGCTCCACAAATGCGAGGCAATATATACAAAAAGACGAGTTACTTTGGCTATTCAACGCGTTGTTATGACGATTTTCAGATTGTTAGTTGCTGAACCTGTATGTGAGGAGGATAGCACAGACTCTGCTTTCAACACGGTGCCGAATTCCCCAGCCAGAAGTGCAAGGCGTGGTCGAGTTTCGTCTCGCAGTCAAACTCCACAGCGAGATCGCAGTCCTTCACAAGGACGCGGACATGATTCAACACCCAATCGAAGTGGTTCTTTCATTCTACTCAATATGTTACACAACATGTCTATATCATTCTTCTGTCTGCCGTTCAAGCCGAGATAATGTCGAATTCAGAGGCGCGGATAACGGAGATCGAGCAAGTTCTTGGGGAGGCTGTCAATTCTCTTGTAAAATATTTCTATAGTGAAAAACACTCAAAAAGCGAACTGGCGCATCTATTGTGTGGTGAACGTGGTCTAGTGAATGCCATAGAGCAGGTAAAAAGTCCAGAGATTCCTTCATCTTTTCTACTGCCAATTTTTATTGTTATTTATTTATTTTTGGATTATTCCTGTTAGAATTTTTGCTTTTTCAGGCCTTCCAATTTGGACGCCATGGATCGGTTTGGTTGTTTCGACAGCCTTCTCCTTGGGACTATGTCGGTTAGTTTTAAATTGTAGTCTTCAATGTGTACTTCTCACCAGATCGGGCGATTCCATCGGATGTTGTGTTTATAAACAATCGCCAGGGATGCATTTATTCTTCTCAGTGCAGGCATGCTATGGTCCCCGGTATTGCTGTCAGAGTCAGTCGTAAAGCTCTCTTGCAATGCTGCGGCAGCAACTGCTCGCATACTCGTTTTCGCTTTTTTAGATTCATGTTCATGTTTTCCCTTGAGACCTCTCCTAAAAGTTATCGTTATTTGAGTCCTGCTTACATATGTTTCGCTCGATTATTTGTGCTTTTGAACTGCGTTTTTCGCAAGAGCCGAAACAGTCCCTCTCCGAACGATCAACTGTGGCGACGCCCAACAGAGTGCCTTTTTCAGGCTCGCTTCTGAAAATGCAGTACACAATAGTTGATGTTGGACGACCAATCTGGTGCCGCCAAAGTTTGGCGCTCGAGTGTCTTTGAAAGTGATTCGTACCTACATATGTTACACGGTCGTATACACGTTCAGGTTATCAATACGTAGACGACCACGCGTGTCTGCCGCATGGGCCGCACCTCCTCAATAATTTTGGAGGGATGTGTCATAATACGGGAGCTCATCCTAATCAGTAGTGTAGGATCTCGATGTGCGAAATGTTGAGACTTCGTTCGTCCCAACAAATCGTTCAATTACCAATCGCTTGTGGAGCAAGCGTAAGTTTCCTTGTTCCACCTGAGCGTGAGTCCGAAACATGAACTTATCAAACTTTAATTTTCCACGACAGGATCCGTAGATAGCCTTGGATCCAGATCATTGGGGCTCTAAGTACTACAACGCCTTCCTGATTAAGGGCAAAGTTCGTGCTCAGACCCCCTAATAGGCCCTTAAAGTGGCTAGAAGTGGATGGAACGCAACTGCAGGCTACTCGCCAAAATCCCGCATCGAAATGCGTTACTAAGGCGCTAGGGGCCAAGAACTTTGACACGCTCCACCTGTTGCGACCACGCTCCGCCCACGTTCGATATCTTGTCTGCGTTGCAATACTGATCTGCTATGCTCTCTCTTCTCGGATCTCTCTACCGCTCTCCCCGCTCACATTATCTCTCATCTCCCTGTTGGCCTTTTGAACTTCTACGCAGCGTAGAGCAAAAGGCTCGTATTTCCTGTGTATTTCATGTATTTTTTTCCTTTTTCTCCACTGGCGGTCCACCTCCCACCCCTACGTCACATTTGAGTCATTTGAGTAGAATTACTTCACCCATTTGAGCCTGAATCTTGCCTTTAATATATTGTCGACAAATTTGAAACCTTCACTAAAATGATTCCTTGTGTCGTGGCATAGCATGGAGCCGGATTGTGCCATGCGGCAAAAAAAGCAACGCGCTGGCTAGCCAAATCGTCTTCAAAGTGCTATGCTGCTAAGCTCCTTCCAAGTCAGCGTTGTGGACGATGCAAAAAATGATGAGATAGCTACTGGTATTTAAGTCTCAAGTTGATGAGGTGTAAAGCTTACGATGCGTATCCGACTCTTTTCGTGGGTTCTTTGACTCTCACAGAACGTTGAATAAGACAATAGTCTATTGGGTTGACCCATAATATCTGGTCGAATTTCAACACTTGGATTTATTCAAGTTTTATCTTTCCTAAAGAACAATCGATCAAAAACATAACCACCATCATAATCACTGATATGCACCCATTTGCCCGGGAACGATTGGACGCATTCCTCCCAGAACGAGAGAAGCTGTGAGATGAAAAGCTCGAAGAGGTCGTTTTGGGTGGCTGTATTTACTGAAATTTTCCTCTCCTAGCTGCTGCTTCAGGGGACTGAGGAGGTGATAGTACGATTGAGCAACGTAAGGGCTATACGATAGATTGGTGCGTGGTCCAGCCAGTTTCCCTCGAAACGTGGCGAGTTGTCTTTGCAATGTGATTTCGGGCGGTCCCCAGATAAAAGAGATTTTGAGACTTTTCACTGGCCTCCTGCACAGCTGCGGCCAACTTTGGAAGCTATTCATGATTACCTTCGCAATGCTTGTCTGCTAAAGTGAAGTGGTTCTAAAGGGATATCCAGCGAATCCAGCAAAACAGGAGTCACACCCTCTGATGAAACGGCTCGGGTTTTTGGTTGATGTGCTGCGTCCAGGCTGCGAGGTAGCCACCGGGCGAGCCGTGTTTTATAGTAGGGGACTCGTGACTCATCTGCACTGGTAACCAGTCAAGGAATTCTTGTGTATATCGCGGTCACAGAATTAAACTTCTGCAGTTGGTCAGGCGTGCTTCTCGGTCATGGTCAGTCCCTGCATGCTGTTTCAATCGAGGCTTCATTCTGCTACAGTCCATTCCATTCAAGTGTCGACTCATGCAGCGTAGGCTGCGCCCAGATGTTTGCTGCAGCCTCTTGCTAATAGCGTACGGATGCACTTCCTATTCGTAGCGCAAGCGGTCCTCATCGAACGTCACTGGGAGTCTGTGATGAGGTCGAACTTTGCAGCTCCTATCGCCTTTGTGTATGCTACTGAGCCAATTGTTCGGTGCCCGATCAGTTGCAAAGACTGGTGCAAGCGTAGCGCTGATCTTGCCTACCGCGCTCCTTGCAAGATTCTTCTTAAATTGTAGCAAGACGAAATCGTCGGGTTTGATTGATGATTTATTTTGATTCCTACTTAATCCCCTTGCGCGTTTAAGCTTCTGAATGATCCTGGCTGAAGGTCCTGATGTAAGCTAACTCAGCATGAAGAAAATTGAGTTTGAACCAAAATCGGCCAGAAATTATGGATCAACCTAATAATTATATTCACGCCTCAACCATAGCTAGCTAAAGGACCTTCTTTGGCAAACAAATTGAAAACTGCAACAGCGTTCGTTTCCGATTCAAGGTTCTTCTGCTTTAACTCTCTCCATTTCTCCATTGATACTTTCCAATAGGCTAAATCGGACAACTTTATTCATGCAACATTTTATTTGTATACACGAAGTTGAGAATTCATCCTCAGGGTGATTAGATATGCCTATTTTCACAGATTTTCAAAATCGGCTTTCATATATATAGTCCGTGAATAACCGCACTGCTCTTTCAGAAAAGGTATGTGTGTTCTTGATGGACTTGCTGCGGCACCGTGACACGTCGTGGACGCGTGAGCAACGCGAACTTATTACGCATGCACTGCGGCTTGTGCGTCGCATTTCGGATCGCGGCGCTCTTGGAAAAGATGCAAAGTTCCACGTTTTCGTTCTTCTCACCATAAGGTACCTTCTTTCTCTTGACACATACTTAATGGAAGACTTTCCCATTTCCATGAATCGCATTTTATTTACTCCATCTTCCACATATGAACAATGTTATGAAGTGTTAATTGTTGACATAATGATGTTGATATATAAGGAAAGATAACATACATCAAAATCCTTAAATAATGAATGCGAATTCCAATTTTTTAGTATACGTTCCCAATATCTCGTCTTTTGAGGTGGGTTAACTGGCCTAGTTCTGATAGAACTCTAACATTCTCGGCGTTTTTTGTGTGCGCCATAACATTGGAATGCCTGTTGTCGTAAATTGGAAGCGCAAAACTCGGTTGGCATTGATGGACATTACATCTCGCAATAACGCGCACTTTTGCAAAAGTCGCTCACCAGCGATATAATTGGATTATGTGATCGGATGCATTTTACTCGCAGTGATGAATGCGTAACATCAGTGCGCCACTCCTTCACCGTTCCTTTTGATGCTCGACCGAAAATCTTTGGAAATGCATCCTGATTAATGAGCTTTTGAGTTTTTTGTCTCAAAAGATGAGACGCTATATTACTTCATGCTTTCTGATTGTTTCGTTTCAAATTCTTTTCCTTCTGTTTGATATTTTAATCTCTGCATTTTGCAGAGATCACATGTTGTCTGGTTTCCTACAACTCATGGCTTGGACTCCAGTGACAGCACAACTGTATGACGAGCCTTCTTTTCTGCGGACTCACGTTCATTTGACGTATCTATCAAGACTCTTGGACTCGTTGAATGAATTTAACTTCGCCCTCGACCCTTCATTGACATACGGTGTTGTGTGAGCGCGGTGAACGCAGGAGCGCATTCAAGCTTCGCTTGCAGTTCAGCATCAGTGATAAGGTTTTATTTACCTCGTTTTCTCCATCAATTGTCAGTTCTGTGCTTAATTCTCAGTCATACGTTCTCGAGCACATGGAAAGACCACGCTCCGTTATGCCAGTGGTCAATTGAAAGAATTGTCATCAACGGTGCTGAATCATCGGCAAAAAAAGCTTTTCCGTCTGAACATCACTAGCCAATCATGTTACATGATGGGGTTCTTAGTCTCATAGGTACCACATCAAATTTCAAAAGTCTTTACATGTTGATTTCGATGTTGGTTATTGAATTGCAGTTTCTTCCGCAGTTTTCCTGCGTTCGTTACCTTCCCTCAGCTTTCATTTCAAACATAATCTACCATTTTTTCCATGTCAAATACTTGCTTTCCTCAAAAGTGTTGTCAGTTAACGTGCGTGTCAATCAGTAAACATAATCTCTATTGGGTTTCCCGGTTGAAATCAAAACATAACATTTCCTAGTCTCCTCGTTCATTTCCGTTCTGAGTCTATTCATCTTCCGTCATTATTGTCCAATTTGCCCATGTGAACCTCGTTTTACCGTAACAAAAACTCAGGGTTTATAAAGCTCTCGCATCGAACGCCGTCATGATTGATTGTCTTATTATGTTCCCTATATCACCAAGTTTTTATCTGCTGTGCGTGATATCTTTCCAACTTGGTGCGTTTATGTTCTCTGTTAATGGATTGCTTTTATCAGTGCATTTGAATATGTACAAAATAGGTTTTGTATCATAGAGATCTATATCTGTGTCGTTCATATGCTGGAAGAAGGTATCTTGTTCTTTTTCGCTCAACGTTTTCATGACAGCATCATGGTAGTGTTATTTTATAATAGGCTCTAGAAATGTGGATTGTAGTGTTGTTCAATTTATGCTCTCTCCTGTCTATGTTCATGATTGCTGTTCTTTTGAGGGTGCCTTTGTGCGCGATAAATACATACCAGAAGTCGTTTTGAAAATTGTATGTGAAGGTCGATAGCCGAATTTTTTTAAAACATTCTTGTCAAATAGGCTCATTTGATAATTTGCTCTAGATGGATGAGGTCGTCATTTGGAAGCGGGTTTTATCGGCAGTTTTCTATGGAGTAACTTCCATCATCGTTGTGTTTGTCAACAAAATATTGTTAACGAATTATAGGTACGTTATTTCTTTGCAATCTATCAAACCATTCCCTCATATGAATACTTTTTAAGCACACGAGGCTGTTCAGGTTTCCATCGTTTCTTTTTGTTGGATTTGGTCAAATGATTGCCACCGTTGTGGTATTATTCTTGGCTCGAAGCTTGAGGATAGTCTCGTTTCCGGCTTTTGATTATTCGATCCCGCGTAAAATTATGCCTCTTCCTTTACTGTTCGTCGTTAATCTTGTGTCTGGACTTGGCGGAACGAAATTAATCAAGTATGTTCTGTGATATCTTTTACTCTTTTTTTTCTCTGTTGTGGTATTTGAGGAAGTTCGCAAAAAATTGCGGTGGATTCTTGCTTTCTCCAGTGAAAATTAGTTGAGTCAGTGCATAGAACAGTCAGAGGGGCGACGGACTTTTGGTGCGTCCGGGGTTGCACGCGGCGAACCGCGCGGCGGGCTGCGCGGCGACCCGGGCGAAGCAAGTCTTCGCGGGCTCCTGCAGTGTGTGCAGATCGCGGATAGAATCCACAAGGTTCTGCTTTGGAAGAAATTTCCCTCGCTCGCGGAGATCGGTGGAATGCAGCGGTGTCAGTGAGAAGATTACAGCAAACGGAGATGAACGAGAGAAACTCATAGAAATGTCACTATTATCATTTTATAAATATGAATAAGAAGCACTAGAAATGGAGCCATTCAGTGAGACGTTATTTTTGTCAACTCTATATCTTTGCTGATCGCGGTGCTCCTGTCCTTGGGGAGAACTTACGAAACAGGGCCAATGGAAGGTGACACTAGAACTAAGCTCATGGAAAGGGAAATACGTTCGGGAGAACAAAAATTGCTCACGTCCTCCACGAGAAACTCTTCCCCTCAGGCTTAGTCCCAAACACAATAATTGGTTGAATGTCTCAGCTCACGGGATTTCACACCCCCCCCCCCTTTAACATGCGCAAGCAACCTAGGCGCCCTGATTGCTAACATGACAGCCTGTTGCTATTCCTTTTCATCTCTTCCTGCCGCTGCCCTTGAATATCCACGCGTTGGAATGTAATTCGGACCGCAGAGCCTTGTGGATTCTATCCGCTATCTGCACACGTTCTGACGTGTTGGATTCCACCGCAGAACCCCGTGAAGACATGCCCCGTTCGCGTCGCCGCGCAGCCCGCCGCGCGATTCGCCGCGTGCAACCCCGGACACACCAAAAGTCCCGCACCCCAGTCAGAGTAGGCTCGTTTCAAGGTCTCGCCAGGAAGGTGTTTCGAGGGGTGCCAAGTTTTTCGAAACGGTTTTGCATGAATAGGAAAAATGAACAGCAGCCTTGTAGTTCTTGCATGAACACATGCAAGAACTACAAGGCTGCTGTTCATTTTTCCTAAATGACTCTATGAATACTAAAAAAAAGGACAAAGAAAATCACCTATGAGACTGTTGTTACTGGTGCTTCATTGTGGCGTATATCCTCCTGTAGTGGCGTTATCCTCCTCCTTCAATATGACTAATGTCATATTGAAGGACTCCCGCTATCCGCACATTGAAAACAACGCGAACTTTGGGCAATGATGCGTTTGTCCGAGCTATGTGCTGAAGAAAGTGTTACCGTTCCATAGAGGGTTCCGGTGGCGTAAATGTGAGTGGTTGCAGCGGTCTAGTGGATCATGATCGTATTTTTGCTTACGTGCGCACGAGACGAATCGTTTTTCCTGCATGCCAAGCGTCAGTAAGAACAATATTAATTTTATAACTATTCGAATCTCGAAACGTACAGGTTATTTATGAGTAGAGTGCTCCAGACATCATAGAAAAAAGGAAAGTAGTTAATAAGGAATTTTTTGAATTTCCCAGTCTGGTATGGTTTCTTAGGACCCTGAAGTAATTATAGAAATAGAAAACTCGCGAATTTAAACTGGGTTTCCTTGCTTACAAGCCAACTGCACTGACACTGAAAGGAATGCTATCTTTGTGATCAGGGCATGATCCAACTCCAACACCGAAGTTTGGGGAAAGTCGAGACTTTGATTCGACTTCGAAAAATTAGAACGGCCGAAAAGCCCACCCGACATGTGTTTCCAGTGGGCTCGGACGAGCTTTGAGTGGAAAATAATCATTAATTGGTGAGAAACACGAGAATCCGGAGACCTGGAGATAGTGCGTGGTCCCTTGGCAATCACCGGCTTAGGTGTTTGTCATTGTTCATTATAGATCAGGATTTCTTATTTTTAGAGAGCGATTTTACATGATTAACGATAAGAGATTGCCTTCAGTCATCCAAAGTCAGGTCCGACGGCTGTTGACTTACCCATGGCTCAATTATTCGGAACTGGGTCAAAGTATTGTAGACTCTTTCTTCTTTGTGACACTTCGGTTATAAGAATTATCTAGCACCTTGTATACGAATACGATATTCGTTTTGGCGGGCACTACCGTTGCCACACTGGTGCCCTTTTGTGTCATGAATTCTATAGCGGTTTTTTGTTCAAATGCTACTTGTAAGGATTGCTGACGGTTCTAATTATGGAAATGATATCCTTTCTTGACGCTCTCGCCATTTCGGCAAATTCTGCGATGCTAACTCAATATGCAAAAGTTTGTCATCGCGAGCAATCGAACCCCGGACCATCACCCTCTTGGGTTAAGAAGTTGTTGTTGTAGTTGTTGTTCTTGTGTCCGTTTAGGATAAATGAACCATAGTTCTGTGGTTCTTGCATGCACACATCATGCAAGAAACCATTTTGAGCAAGCTTGGCACCCCCGAAATACCTTCCTGCTCAGAGCGACGTCGCATTGCCAGAATGCCAGTGTTACGAAGTATTCAACCGTTGACCTCTCATCAATTCTCCCTAATGTCATTCCCGTGTATAGTCAGGTCCGCAGTCTTGGTAAGCCGTCGCCACGTTGTTCTATTCAGGTCATCTGCCTCTGCTGACTTCAGTGAGGTCCTTCTTGATCAATTCTTCTTTGGGGCTCCTCGCGGTCGCCTGCCATGCGCTTTGAAGTCCATCGCTTTCTTTATCGGGTGATCATGTGGCCTCTGCAGCACGTATCAATACCATCAGAAGCTCTGCGCGAGCACCTCCAAGTGGACAGGTGTATTTCGCATGACCGCTCCGAGATCCTCGTTTCTGATCCTGTCCAGTCGGATCCAGCCGTATGACCACTTCAGCGTTCTCGTTTTGGCGGAGTGTAGCTGCCTTTATTGATCCTTGTTCAGGAGCCAGCAGTCGCTGCCGTGTGGCATCGCAAGCCTCACCTTTCCTGGACCTTCCCTTTGAGCGTTCTGGAGCACATTCAATCGCACAGCATTTTAGTGGACTTCGCTTCATCCATGCATCATATTGTTAGAAGGAAGAGGAAGGGGCTCAGAATTGACTCTTCTCTGCACCACAACCGTGAAGTTCACCTCCTGTGTCAGACCGCGTGGGGTGGGTGTCGCTGCCTTAGCCTGTCCTTGACTTGGGAGATCAGAAGTTTTGGGATGTTCTCATTTCTAAGCCTTCCCGAGCACTGATCGCGACGGTCGAACATCTTTTCAAGATCGAGGAAGGCTAGGTAGCGTGGCACTTTTCTCTATCCTTTTTATCACGTGCATGGCGATGAAGATGCCATCTTGCCGAACTTCTAGGCATGAACCCGTGCTGCTCCTGGGAGATTGGGACCAATCTCCGCAGGTTCGCGTCTGTTAGCCACTCATGCAGCTTGATGGTATGCGCAGTCATCTTGATCCCGCGGCAGTTGGACAGTTCATCACCCACCCTTCTGTTTGAAGATAGGGACGATAGTACTTCTTCTCTAGGCGTGCGGCATCGTTCCTTCCACAGCTACGTTGTTGTGGGCCTTTTATCACGTACTCTCCGAGCGCTTTCCCAACCTTTATATTTCCTACTTCTCGACGAACCTCATTTTGTGTACAGAGTGAGGTGGTACCAGCGGTTGCCGCTGCTTGCGTGTTGTATTTGTAGGGGAACTCCTTTTTTAGAAGAGCAGTGTAGCACTCGTCTCACCTCTTCTTGACTTCAGCTGGCCTCCTCAGGATAATACCGTCACTGTTCTTTCAACTTTCACCTTTACTTTACACTTCACGACCATGATATCCTGAGTAACTCGGTGCCGAGCTTTGGCCGACCTTAGTACGAACCTGTGTTTCTACTTTCCACCGTATTCTTCGCCTTGACGACGGCTGCTTCACAAGCGAAGGATACCAAGTTGGAGTGGCATAATGTGGTGTAATGAAACCTGTATTCTCAAACGTGTTTTCAAACGCTGATCTCAAATTCGTCTTCTAATCTTGGAGAACGATTCTCTGACCAGAGTTATAAAGGTTGTCTTAATTGAAAGACAACTATAAGAGAGACCGATAAACAGAAACTATTAGGTTGTCCCATAATTAGTGAATCACTTTACATTTATTGTTATTAAAAATCGAAGAAAAATGGTGAAGGGGTGAAACATGTTTCGCGATGTAGCACCCACTTCATCCTACCTGAGCAATTACTCATTTACAAGCCGCCTTCCGTGGCCGATATTTAAATTTTTCTGGAACCTGTCTTTGAGCTCCTTTCTTAATCACTTCTGATTAGAATCTTTCAAACGCTTAACAACGTAGAGAAGCAGCCAGCAGATGAGCGAGGGCACACTCGCTCAATTCACGGTCTGCTTGTGGTTCACTCTATCGAGAGATTGGCTTTTTTGGTTGAAGATGACCCACACTCCAACTACCCCTCAATTGGCAATTTCAGTGCTGTACCCAGCGCCACTAAGCGTGGATATGGACTTACTAGTCGCCGTTTGCTAGAGCATTCCCGACTCGTTAAAATGATGGAATGTAGACATCTACGTAGAGTTGTAAAGATTTTAAAATATTTAATTTGTATCTCGTATGCTTTGAGCCCGAAACAGTTCCGCACACGATCTGACATTATCATGTTCCTTCTGATCTCCTTTAGTTTCTTACAGTGTTCATCCTGCACATTCACCAGGGTTCTGGACTGGGTGAAGTGTACTAGCAAATCTCCAAGGAGCAGTAGTCTAGCATGAACGATCCGGGAGTTCTGACAGCAAAAGCCAAACCTCCTTCAGAGATATTGGTGAAGCACGAGAGTGACCATGCGCTCTGAACCGGTGCCCAGTATTACCAGGGTCATTGAAGAAGATCAACATATACAGCGTAATGGCGATGCTTTCAATTTGGAAGTAAAGCAAGACAAAGCCTGTTTTTTTTTCTGAGGTCGTTCGTCCTCACCTTGCGGAGAATATTCATAAAAATTTTTAGACTCTCAAGCTAGCAGTTCTTTCACTTCCTCTGTGTGGCACTATCCTCATGCCAACAAGAGGCAACTCAGTCTGACCTCTAGCGCTCTTCCCCGGGAAGAAATTTTACGCTGAGCGACATGACCTTAAACTCAACTTCCGAACTTTCTTCGATCAATCGCTCCTGGAATTCTAGAGAAAAGACAGCGACTAAATTCCTCTGTATAGGCAATACATTGCAGATGACAGGAGGGTATGTTTGGATGAGCAAAGGCTTCACATAAAACAAAAAAAATGAATTCAAAAATACCCAAAGTGATTCACTAATAGAAGCGGCGGCTTGGGCGAGGGGTAGTGCTCGCGGCTTGTGTTGGTGAGGCCTGGTGCGGATCTTGCTGGGTCCGAAGCAGGGTCAAGCGTCACATCGAAAAATTTTACGCTCACCCCTCCCTCCCCTTCTGGAGGGCCTCGATGCGACTCCCCCCCCCCACCCAACACCATTTGTTTGTGTCTTTGTGTGTATACGGATGGATATATAAACATGTATCCTACTCGAGAATAGCGATGACCTGTATCACCTGTCGTCCCGTTGATCGTCGATATGCTCGAGCGGGCGCCAGCAACGTCTCCATTCGTCTCCGGCACGTGTTAGAGTGGCTTAGTGGATCCTATTCGTCGAAGGACACGGAGCCGTTCATTCCTTCTGTTCAGAGCTTTCGTGAAGAAGTCTGACCATAGGGCCCGCGGTCGTCCAAGTGTTCGTTTGACGTCCCGAGGGATCCAGTCGGTAACCGCTTCTGTCCAACGAGGCAATCGCAAAATCGGATGACGTGTCCGGCCCACCTTATCTTCGATTCCTTGGCGAAAACGGCAGCGTCCCTGATCTTCGATCGTTGGCATGGTTCCGAACTCCGGATTCTCCTCTGCACTTGCGTGTATATGGTTACTCCAAGCATAGTTCTCTCGACAGCGCGTTGGATAAGGCTGACCGTATGCTCGTCCTGCCTGCGCAGTTCAAGTCTGAGGCGTAGGTTAGGACAGGAAGGACTGCGGAATCGAAGAGGTGAGCACGGAGCCGCATGTCTTCGTCTTCTTCACTACTCCTCGATGATCTCAAATGCTCCCCATGCCGCTCGTTCCTCCTGCTCAACTCTGGAGCTAGGTCGGTTCATCATATTGATTTCCCGACTAGGTACACGTAGTGGAGCATTCCGTGATGTTCGTTCCGTTGAGCGTGATGGGGGCATCAGGAACCAATCCGTTTCTCATAAACATCGTCTTCGTTAGGGACAGCTGCAGACCGACCTTACCACAGGCGCAGTCGAAATCAGCAGGATTTGCTTCGCTTGCTCGATGTTCGGCGTTATAAGACCGATGTCCGTCAGCAAAACGAAGGTGTTGTAGTTGCCGGCCGTCGACCTTCACTCCCATGTCTTCCAATTCCAGTTGACGCATGACGTTCTCGAGAGCGGCGCTGAAGAGTTTGAGCGAGATGGTGTCGTCCTGTCGAATCCCTCCCTTGACGTCGATGATGACCTCCCTGTAGAATGGTGAGGTCCTGGTCGTAAAGTTGCTGTAGAGCTCACGAAGAATCCTTATGTACTGAGCAGGAACGCCCTGGTTGCTCAAGGCTTCGATGACCGCTTCTGTCTCCACATAGTCGAAGGCCTTTTTCAAGTCGATAAACGTGAGACAGAGCGGCATCTTGTACTCTCGTGAAACTTCAATGGGTCTCGTAATCGTGTGGATATTGGCGATGTGCTGAACCCTCGGAACCCTGCTTGCTCGCATAGCTGTCCTTCATCCAGTATTCTGCCGATCCTGTTCGAGTGAATAGCTTGCAGATTACAGACAGCAGGCAGATTGGGCGATAGTTGCCAATGTCGTCCAGGTCTCCCTTCCTGTACAACAACACGGTCCTGCTGGTTTTCCACAGAGTGGGTACCTTGCATTCCGACAGGTAGCGCATGAAGAGTCGAGCCTGAGTTGTGATGATAAATGGTGGTGCTTTCTTCAGATGTTCCGCTTTAACCCTGTCGAGACCGGGTGCTATACAATTTTTCACCGACTTGACGGCATGTCGGACATCGGAAGAGAGAACTGAGGGGACGACATATCCACCCTCTTGCGGTTGACAAGTAGGGAGATGGACATGGCTAGTCTCTCACTTCATTCCATTCCATTCCGTGAGTACCGATGTGAAGTTCTTCAGCCGTTTTTCTTGGGCAAATCTTAGCGTTGAAGTCGCCGACGATGACCTTGAGGAATGTATTGTCTTCCTGTAGAACTTCTCCAATTCATAGAACAACACGGTAATGGCTGACAAAGACGGCGAACCCTGCGTCTGCGCGGCACTGACAATAGGGAGTAGAAGGCGAAAGCGTGAAGTGTCCGGTTAACCCGAAAGAGGACGAAGGTTGCTTCGCATGGGTAAGGAAGGATTTCTTGAGGAAAACCCGAGTGGGAAACGCGTCTTGCTGTTGTTTCTGTCCTTATGCCTGAACATGGGAATGAAGTGAATACTTGAAGGAGCGCAAGCCTGGATCAAGCATGTCATCATAGAGTGCCAGAAAGAATGAAGCTTCTAATGCTATCAATTCGATTTTGGAATGCGCAAAGCATTCCGCTCTCATTCAGAATTGGGCATCTGAATGCAATTTGGCCTGAGAACAAATATTTCATCTCTACGTGGTTTTACTTCTAATCAATTATGGGAGTCGGTCCCATGTTTAAGTCATCGTTTTTATCCTCGCAGGTGAATCAGCTAACCAAATCTCATGGAAGAGAAGGGTCCATTGAAGTGACAAATATTCGATTCAGGACTCGATCTTCGGTTTGTCCGCGAGACATCCCAAAATATCTCAGGAGCTGTTCTTTCACTTTTTTCCTCATTTTTCTCCAAATTTCTCTAGTGCGTGAAGAATTAGTCTTTGAAGGCTTGCCCACTTTGGACGAGTTTACAGCTTCGGTGGGACAGAACAAGCGCAACAATTGTTTCCTGGATAATATGGAGGCATATAGTGGATCTAAGGCGTCGAACACGAAAATGCCTGACGCGTGTGCTACAGCTACCGTGGGCGGTCATTTGCAAATGCGCACACTTTTGCTCGAAGCTTCTCATTTGCTCTTTACACTTTTTTATATGCAAGCGCTAATGAATTGGCAGGGATGAGGGTCTCTCCAACAATGTCTTCAGGAAAGCAGAGGTGAGAACTCGCCTAGAAGTCGATCACACGACCTCGCCCGTCGGCCCGGGCCTCTGCCTCTGCACTATCTCGCTCCATAACTACGTTCAGAAAATCGTTCCCCAGATTTGGAAGGCAGATTCGAGATCACTGGGATGGGGGGGAGGCTGATTACGCTTTGAAATATTAATTACGAACTGCACAGCGAACAAGAAGCCGCATCTAAACATAAATCTCTGAACCCGAAGCCACTCTTGTTTAGGCCGATGCCAGACTTTGCGAATCGCTAGTAGCGAATCGCGCGATTCGCAAAGTCTGTCATCGGCCTTAGAGGGTGTGATCGGTGGCAAGTTGGCATCTTATAGACTGAAACCGTTCTTGTTTGCATGCGAAATACAGTAGCAGTCAAAAGTAATCACCGAAACGATTTTTAGTGCACTATTTTTCCTCGCTTGAGCAACGCCCTCCAAGGATTGATATACTATAGTTTCTAGTAGTTTTATATTCCCAAGCCCTAAAGAATAAAAATGCTCAAAAGAAAAATTCTCGAGGCCACCGCAGATGTTTTCCTCAAAAAAAAGAAGAGCACGGAAAACCGTTCCGACGAACACTTTTGACCGCTACTGTATGTGCTACTTTTAGTTCTAGCAAACTTTTATTGCAGTCTGCCAATGTTCACAGTGCTTCGGCGATTTTCAATTCTGATGACGATGGTTCTAGAGTACTATATATTAGGGTAAGCTTATCGTATTCATTTAGAATGTGATGTCAGATTTTTGGCATGTCTATTATTGCATTTGTCGCTCTAGAATCGATGAAAATTGATCAGTATTCTTCCTTTGTCGATTGAGCTGAGTTATTTTTTAGTGTGAAAGCATCACGGGCTGTTCGCGTTTCGGTTTGCATGATGATCGCCGGATCTATCATTGCAGCACTCTTCGATCTTACCTTTGACCTCTGGGGATATACTCTCATAGGTCTGAATGATATCTGTACTGCTGCTCTTGGTGTATACACTAAACAGAAACTCGAAGCCAAAGTGAGTTCGTACAATTCTTTGGTGTTAGATCTTTGTCATTGCGGGGGACAGTTAACTTCTTTTTTTAGGAGCTCGGAAAGTACGGCCTGATGTTCTACAATTCACTGTTCATGTTGATTCCTACGTTTATATTGATCTGCTTCACTGGTGATACAGATCGGGTAATAATTTGTGTAATTTTGCGGAATTTCAAATTTCTTCAACTGCAAGAGAAGTACACATATCAGTTCACCACAATCATACAGGATGATTTCAATAACCGCACTGTATACTGAATTCAAATCTGACTTACAGACGTCTAAACTGTCTTCAGTGTTCTTTGTAAACAATTCTTCCGTGCTGTTCTGGGTTTTGCAACCCTTTTATCTTTTCTTATCCCAGTTTCTAGACAGTCTCGGAACCGAGTTAAGTAATTTTCCTCTCAAAACTCCGCCCTCTTTGGCGCTCGCCACGACCGCCGATAGCACACGACCCCACCTTCTTCGCCATCTCAGCTCACTTTTCGCCGGTCTCTGAGCAGTCTCCTAACCTAACTGTTGGAATTTGTTATGACTGCCCACTCGAAGAGACGCTTCGCTTATTGCGGGTGGGCTTCCGCTCGTTTAGATGTGCCGAGGACACGTCGATATTGTTCTCCTACACCAGCTTTCCTTGATCTATAGGCCATCTCTTAACCAAGTTGTGGTTTTTTGTTAAGCACCGCCCATTGAGCGCATTCTCAGCCCATTGCGGACGGGTCCTCCTAATTCGCTTAGCAACTCTGTGCACACCCACACCGTTTTTTCTATTCGGGGCTCTTATAGGGTCGACTTCGAAGTTTTTGCCATTCGCACCGCCGATCCTGGTGTATGCCTTGCTCACCGTGAGCGAAACTCCGCATAGCTGAGCCATGATTCGTCCATCTCAAACTTGACCCCAATCGCAGATGGGTTTCAGTTAGTACCGAATTTCATGGCAGACAGGCAGACGGAATTAACGCTTTAAATATAGTAGATAATATGTTCTTATACTGTGCATCATCAATACGTGAAAGCGAAGGCTGAAATAAGTAAGATTCCATTGGGCCGGCTTGATACATATGAAAGGTACTCTGAGAAGCAGATCATGCAACACGTCCAGGATACGGTATGTCTGTCCGTTTGAAACTTTTGCACTTTAGATATTGTCGTTTTGCTGCGGAACACCAAATATCGTCTACCTGGAAAATCCTCTACCTTCTCCACAAACTGTCTTTCCCCTTCATTTTTATTCAATTCTCATCGCGAGTTGTGTCCTAAACGCGCAGCTGCAGGATGCTGTTAAGGTGTCCGCTGGTAGCATGGAATGGAAAGAATTGGGAATAATGGTTTGGGCGAAGCATTTAAGCGGGCTTTTCTTTCCTCGGATTCTCGAATAAAAATATTTTACTGTTTAGTTTTTACAAGGCTCTGGATATACATGTATGGTCGGCTAGCAGACCAAAAGGCAATATCAAACGGTGGCAGCGTTTATGTCGACAGCTATGCTTACAGTTGAATCAATGGGAAGAGTGTCTAAGGTAGCCACTGAAAACTAGCAGTAAATTGGTTTGAAGAATCCTCTAGCAAAGTGAAGAACGGAATTGCGATCGGTCTTTAAGAGCGCATGGTGGTGTATATCTCATTTTGAACAGTTCTGGTAGCGCAGTACCTCTTAATTGTAGTTTGCTTGCACATTTCAGGTTTGTGGTTGTTTTCGTCATAATGTGGTAGTACACTACATAATTACAGGCCACGAGATTTATGATATCTGATGAAATGACTACGTCAGCATGGACATGTTTCATTGTTTCATGTTTCTGTGGATTCGTTCTCAATTATTCATTAGTTTTATGTACGCATTTCAACTCAGCACTCACTACCACTTGCGTTGGACCAATCAAGGTGAGATTTGACGCCTCAATCATTAAGCTCATTCTCGATTGCAAGATGCATCCGATAGGTTAGACAGTGATCTCGTGTCACCAACGTTCACCACGCATCCAATCCTATCCTGAAGTCGTAGTGGGATTGAAGGAAAAATGGCTTACTATACGTTATCATCACGTCAAGCGAACCGTCGCGGAAGAATTCCGAACACGTGCCCCTCCTCCCTCGTCCCAGTAATGAGGGCCACCATACGCATACCTTCTGTGTGCGTTACCCCTTGCAGCAAAAGTTGAAAATCACGGTCATTTTCAAACGGTTGTAACCTTCTTCAAGATAGTACGAATTTTAAATCTGAAGAGGATAAGCAATTGCTTTACTTGGACATTTTGAAAAGTATTCATTATATGCAACTAATAACTCCATCGAATTTTGGGAGGAGTATTTTCGGGGTACTCGAGTTTCATGGGGCAATTTCCTTCGAAAGTGTCCTTTCGGAAAAGATGTGAGGCGCCATCAAATAGAAACGTACTTCTTTCAATGGTTAGAAGAAGCACTGTGTGAAGTCACCATATCATAAAAGGTCCTGTCGGATGTTTTTGTGAAAATACTGATAAAATTGAAACATGCGAATTTTTACGCCTTCACAAGCCATAATCTCCTTGAACCCATAACGGATGACCAGTGTATTTGCTGCGTGCGCCACATGGTGGCGCACACCGCAGGATAGGGTTTATATAGGCTTGTGCGAATAGCAGGGTTAAGAGGGGCTAAAGTAGGTGTCCTTGTCTCATCTTTCAAAGAGAGAGAGATCTCCGCTGAAACTAGGGTGCAAAGAATGAATGAAAGCTGCAGGTGAAATCATGGAAAAGTGCGGAACAACAACCCCGAGCAAGGATGTGGCTATATTTAGTGGAAGGGGTCTCAGGACGAGTGAACCATCTGTAAGCCATCCATCAACTAGTAAGCTTATGAAAATTAAGACAAAGTGTATGTGAAATTTATTGTAGGTTCGTCAGAAGACCACTCGTCCAAGTCCTGGGAAGATATCTTATTCCACATCGCTGAGGGTATATACGGGTACATTAAGATTGTTAGAAACCTAACAAAAACAAAAGAAATAATCGTGCCCCGCAATGTGGCGCACACCGTCCATTATGGGTCAAAAGTATTCAATCGGACAAGTGGATGCCGTAAAGCTCTCTTTAATAACTATTAAAACCATTCAAAATGGTCAAAATGGTTCAGTGGGGATTTCTTCCCTAGTACCACACAGAGGTTCTTTTTTGTCGCATAGACGCATTTTCAACAGCTATGTATCATTTTTGTTTGATTTGAAAAAGAATTCGCTAACTTTCTTTCTTCCTAAAATTTGTGAATTTGCATTGCAATATTTTGGTTAAATGTGTTATAGGTTTAATGCTGACCGGAAATTCGTAATTCTTTTTGAGTGGTCCTTCATGTCATTTTACATAGCCCCTGTCGGAAACCTCTCAGTAGCTCTGTGCGAGTTACTTATGTTCACGGGAACAGGAATTTGAGCAAACTGCATCGATGGATCTCACGTAGGGCGCCTGACATACAGCGCAAGACACATTCCCATCTCCTTTTGGAATCACTCATCTGTTCACTGCTGTCCTTAATCCCTATGACCCCTGCAACCAGCCCAAATGCAACTCCTCTTCGGCACACTCGATCCTGATTAGCAATTCTTCTCTTCGTAAAGTCTCTGTTCCCACTAACCGGCGTCATTGAGGACAGTAAAGTTGGCCTAGGGGAGAATCGATTTTGGTCCTGCCTCGTTCCCTTATAGTCCATGCGCTAGCGGTATTGCCGCTGCCATTAACCATCTTTCACCTCGTGTAATCTAAGCAGAAAGTTTAAGAGAAAATTGATTACTTCATAGTTCTTCGGTTATTATATTCTCATTGCAGAATTTGTTTGTCACATACGTGGGAATGTTTTCCAGTGGTGATTATGTGTTCCAGTGGACCAACTTCATTGGGATTAATGTCAGGTAAGCTTCTCAACCAGTGTAGGAGTGTGCTCTTACAGTCTATCGAATGACTGCTGCGGAAGCTGGAGACAAGGAGTATTACTTACTTGGTTAATCAAGAGGCAAAGGTCTTTGTTTCAGTGTCATGGGTAGTATACTCTACACGTATGTGACGTTTCGTACGAAGGCTGTCACTCAGCGACATATTGTTGTGACTGCAGCAAGTAAAGTGGAAAAACAGCCATTAATTTGAATTTTGAGCATCATTGTAGCATAGCGTCGCGTTTTCATGTGCTTTCTAAAGCAGTGAGATTCCGGGTACAAATTCTTCACTTTTTACTGTCATTCATTTGACTTGATATACGATCTTACGGCTTTAAGTATTTTGCTGCCCCTGCAGAGAGATCTGAGATTTCTAGTTGGCGATTGATGGTGTTCGTTTGTTTCACCTAATTCTGATTTTTTGCTGTGATAGGTCTTTGTTAAATAGCTGTATAGTTTTCACGTTTTATTTCTGCTGTTTGAAGCAAAATTCCAACTGTTCGTCGATTTTGAAAACTCACTCGATACTGGGGCCTTGCCCTCCAGTCAAGTGAGTCTCCTCGCTGTACATGTATCTGAATCTTTGCGTGAGTTAGACGTTTACACGTGATTTTATTGTTTATAAAATTCGGATTTGCCATAATACTAGTGTGCAGAAGTAGCGTCCATTGTGGGATCCAATTCGGATTTACTCGGTGGAAATAAAACATTAAGCAAGACTGGCCAATGAGTTTAAATTTTTAGGAAGCAGTATCGGCCGCCTTGGACTAAGCTGAGCTACTCTCTTAGGCTGCTTTCATAGTCTGCGGTCCGTGCGGTCCGTGCCGTCCGCGCCGTCCGTGCGGACCGCTCGGACGGGGTGAAAAACGTCAACATGCGCTCTGGCGCAATTGCTTACTTAGCACGCAGTTGGCGCCTCCCTCGATCGATAACTCGATTTCGGTGCATTTTTCAATGCTTGTGAATATTTGATGCGATATTGGTGAGAAATCACTCACTTAACTTACCCTGCGGCACGCGCAGACGTTATCAGCGAAAAAGCGAGTTCTAGAAAGATAGTTCATTTAAACAATCAGCAAAGCGCACTGATTAACTTACCGATTTACCAAAACATATCGACTAAGGCAAGAATGAAGAAGTCTCAACTAAAAAAACATGAATGAACACACCACACATTCACAAACACTGAAAAATGCACGAAATGCACCGAAATCGAGGTATCGATCGAGGGAGGCGCCGACTGCGTGCTAAGTACGCAATTGTGCGCCAGAGCGCATGTTGACGTTTTTCACCCTGTCCGAGCAGTCCGCACGGACGGCGCGGACGGCACGGACCGCAGACTATGAAAGCAGCCTTACTTGCAACGCTTGCAACTTTACCCTTTTCAGAGCGCAGTGAAAAGAAATGGTATCGAACGCGAAGTTTATTGAAGATTTTCTACAATATTACCTCCAACTTACATCGGCTTACACTGCGTTTGTAAAATACAGTGTGTCCAAAAAGTATAGGGACAACCTATCATTATTCAATTCTCTATAATGGGCGAATGATTTCTCTCCGAATTTTTGTCGAACGTGCATTATTACACCACGGTACAAATATATAAGTGAAATTGGAAAGAAAAAGTTTTGTAGATTTTTTATAATTTTTCTTCTAAAATCATCGCGTCCTAAAAGTATAGGGACAATATGACGTTCGAGCTTCCCGAGCGGTGTACCTAATGAAATCAATAATAACAATCCTACTATATATAATTCGCTAAGTATGTCTGTGTGTGTGTCTGTCTGTACGTACGTCCGTCTGTCACGAAATTCATAGCGCGCTTCGCTGCAGTAGGAGGTGGGACGGCAACATATTTGGTGGGGTTTGTAAAGTGATACCGACTGGTAAGATCTGATAAAAGGCGCCAAAACGCCAATTCATGATATTCATAACGCGTGTCCCAGCAGTGTTGGGGCGTTGGCTCCAAGAAGTGATGTACAGCGTGGAACGGGAACATATTTAGCGGGGTTTAGAGAGTGATACTTAATGATAAGACTGATAAGAGGCGCTGAAACGCAAATCTCACGAAATTCATAGCGCGCGTCTCGGCAGCAGTGGGGCGTTGGTTCCAAGAAGTGATGTACAAGGTGGGACGGGAACATGTTCGGTCTGGTAGAGAAAGTGATAAGGCATGGATCACGAGTAATAAATTTGTGGACATATGATGCTGGCTTGTAAAGCCTTCGTTCAATAGATTACATCATTTTCAATCTGGTATCCACAGTATCATCTCATTAAGGTTGTGTGTCATCAACCATAAAAAGCTATCCGTTCGAATACGCACAAAACCTCTACTTTGTCACCAGCAATCCAATTCGCCTCAGGTCTGGCGCCCTAAACATGCAGTGATAGTGATTGACTGTTTGTCACGACTGATAGATACACGTCAAATTTATCATTGGGCTCTACGTTATCAATGCAAAAGTAGCCTAATGCGGCATCAGTAATTGTTCGAGCCAGAGTGCCTGCCCATATCACTGGACACCATATCAAATCAATGATGTTGTTTAAAGGACAGCACCGAACTTTAGCTGCGTTACAACTCCACCGTGGGGTGCCTCACGAGCGTTTGTTAAAATAAAAGACGTTTCAGGTCAGTACAGTGTACTACTGATACGCATTGCACAGCGGCGAGCCATTATTGTTTAGAGGCGGAACTCTAAGCCCGAGCGCTGCCAGCTTAACTGGAAGATCCCTTCTCTGCGTGCATGCACCGCGTATTGTAGCGGACAAAACCTGTATATGCATTAAAAACGAGTTTACATTTCTTTTCAATACATTGAATCATCCGTTTCGGCACTAACTTAGGCAAACCTTGAAACTCGTTTCGGGGCGATATCTACTCGCGTCTAGAGCTCACGTAGAGTGTTTTTTGCTCTGCACACTGTCTGCAGTAGGCGTAACGTCTTGTGTAAGGCCTCAGAGGTTCTCTATCGATCATGTATATCTTTAGAGTGGCTTACTTGCGTCATCTTTGGTAACACGACTAAGTGATTGTAGTCCACTTTACACGTGAATACGGCGGATTGTCTTTTATTAGCCGAATGTTATGAACTTAAAGGAGATTTCAGATTAGAATGGAGGTCGAGGACACTAAGTGAACTTCGCTCACTATCTAGTTGGAGCGTAACCCATGATCCTCCTGAAAGGTCCGCAGTGACTGGCGCTCGATCGTCAAATCGCATCGAAACACATTTACTTCTTCGGTCGCCCGTGAGTGCGTCCTCGAAAGTTGGCCGGGGCTCTGCCCGATTCCGTCTGCTACATCGCAGGTCTGATCCCGATCATTCACTCGTCGCAACCATTTACTCAACGCGTAAGATTTGAGTTTAGTATTGAGTCTAGAGATACTGCATCGATTGAAGCAAGACAGATCAGCCGCGATTAGAGTCGCATCAAATGCGTCAACCTCAGCCGGGTGAGTAAGGTTTTGGTCCCATTTCTATCGGTTCTGGGCCGTTTGCTCATGGTTCTTATCCTTCTTTCGTGTACACAATCAACATCGCCTGACTTAATTTGAAATGATTGCCTTCCGGCGCTGAATTCGTCCTTTAAGGTGGAAATCGTGTAAGACACTCGCCTTCATAATTTAGGGTCCACCCTAGAATTTTTGCTATCCCAAGTTCTGTGCATTTTTATGGAAATCTGCTAAGTCTACCAGTTAGATCCTCATCACGAAAAACCTTCAATAGTGTTTTCTGCCCAAAGGTTCCCCCCTCAAGCACGCCACCACTTAACTTTTTCAGAAACGAATTTCATCGCTCATGAATATCGTGCCACTCGCTAAAAAGTTTCCATTTTCTTCTAGATCCCGTGAAAGGGAATCAGGAAGCGGGGAATATGGGGCTCAGTCGGCATTGGAGTTTACCATCCCCTCGGGTAATTCGCCTGCTCTCCCAGTAACAAGCTCAAGCTAGACACTGCTGAAGTGGGGTCCTCATACTGCATAAGCGACTATGTGCAACAATCTGGTCGCTGCGGAGAAGCAGAGCGCTTAGTAATACAGACTGTGTTTCCTTCGAAATTTAGGAGAAATTGGGGTGTCCTTCTCTCGAATTATACAGGATTTTGTCCGTAACAAATCCCGCACTGACAACCATGCGGCCTTCCCATGACAAAACCACCGTGTAGTGCGTAAGCACAGACAATGTCATCATCAAATGGATTGACGAAGAAAAGCGTTCCAAGATTATTGGCGCATCCAAGATCGCAAGTCTAAATTTCTCTGTGGAAAGGGCTCAAATTAATGCGAGTCGAATGGTGGCTGTTACCGCTTCGTGATTCTGACTCTCTCGTCCTTGTTCGTTCTACAGGTTGTCGAAATCGCCCTAAAAATCGCAGATGTTTTTCCAATGGAACGGTAATTTCGGAGGTGAAATCCGCTTTAGGACTTTGAACGGACTGATTATTCTCAGAGCTCGGCTTTTGTTTTCTGTTCCCATAAAAATGCCACAGGTATGTCGTGGAAGTTCTTTTTCGAATTCGAGTCTCACCATTTTTCAACAAGGATTCCCTCTCCTCCTTGATTTTCACACACCATAACGCGGCTGTCCATGCCGGTCCCTCATCGCCAGATGGAATTGCAGGAAAAATGTGGCAGTTACTCTAGTTGGCCACCATGTTATCTGAATTAGATTCCAATAGAGATAATTTGGGCCTTAATTGTTACAAAAGTTCCACAGCAAATAAAGCAAAATGGAACAGCCGAAAAGCTGAAAAGGTCGATCATCGGCGCCCAGACATCGATTTCACTGTAATAGCTATTGGCTACCGACATTCTTCCAAACGTATTATTGTGTTTTTTATGATTATTGGTGGTTCATCCCATTACTGGAAATTCGTGGTTTTTTCGTTATAGTAAAATCTCTCCGACAAGTGATGTGTAGTCATATTTGCGAAACGCGTGAAAATACATTCTAAGGAACATATTTCAATAATTCTGATCGAGATTTCTCCAGAAATCAAGTATCAAGGTTTTCGTTATGGGGAAACCCATTGGTAATAAGCGCCATTCCACCAATCACAGCAACTTTGGAATAGCAAAAAATTAGGGTGGACCTATATTTATGAAACGCAGTGTATGGTACCGCATTGTTTTCGGGGATGGTCCTGTAGCCACTGGAGTTCAGGCGTTGCGTGAAAAAACCCGTTCACTTTTACGAAGTGCTGTGAAGGCAGCTCAAACCGTAACGTTACCGCCAGCGAATCTGCGTCTGGACAAGTAGTGTGGGTCCTCCCTCAACTCGCGTCATTAGCTTGCCAGGCTATCGGGTCCATCCAAATTAGACCTCTTTTCATCGGAAAAGTTCACCTGGAGCACTACAGTGTGTGACATCACGTGCGGAATCCGCCAGTGCAAAGTACCTCATCCCATTGACGAGTCCAGCCTACGTGCGCCTTTGCAAATCTTTCATCTCATTCATTCGCGGGCCTACCTTGTCACTGAGCGCTCAGTTCGCCTCTGCTCCCGCACCATTTAGTGATCTCGGTGTTTCTTCGTTCTAATGTCATTTCAATTGCACGGAGCAGGAACTTCTGCTTTGTCTAATATTCACACTCTATTCGCTAACTCAAACTGCGACAACTACGACAGCTTTCGCCCTGTTATTCTTCTCCTTGGTTCTTGTACCCTGCTGGTGTTATTCTTACAAAGAATGGTCAAATGGTCGCCTCGGCCATTTAAAATGAGGTGTAGCATGATGCACGTGTCTTGCGACGCTGAGCTCAAATCCGTTTTCGGTTTTTGCCGAACCATTCTCTGAATGAAGTTACGAGGAATTCTTCTCACTGTGGCTTCCTCTGCGTCCCCCAATCCCACTTGACTCGCGTAAAAACACAACGAACGAACAGAACGCATAACAGAACAACCAATTATAAACGCTTCCACTATACCCACCAGGGTCAACCCTATGCTGGGGCAAGTACCAACGGGGGCTCGTACTTGGTTTAGATTTAAGGGGGGGGGTCGTGCACGCCGACAGTGGAATTCTTGGTAATATCGGATAATAGCCAGTACGTTATATTTTCGTGAGATGATTGATGCTATAGCATCTATAAACCCACGCTTCCTTCTAAATGAGCTTTAAACGAATCAGCGAATTACAAGCGCGGCCGAGGCGTAGCGCACACCAAGGCAGGGTATGCTACTGCACACGCATGCTCGAAGCTTCCTAACACATTCTATGTTCAATAAGAAATTACTTTCCCTGGAGGTTACGGCCAGTGAAACCAAAAAAGCCTGCATTTTTCAAGAAAATGGCGTTAAAAATGCCTCTCCGAAAATCCCAACGAGACTAATTTTTTACTTGCTGATTTTTCGGGAACGTTCGGGTACTTTCTAGAAGGCTTGGATCCTGTAGTTTGTCATACTGCGTTCAGCTTCCCGATTAAATAGGTTTGAAGGAAGTGATGATTGTTTGAAAGTTGAAAAGTCACAGCTCCAAAAAAAACAGTTCCGCACCCCCCCCCATAAAGTCCTAACGCGACTAATTTTTTAACGGCTGATTTTTCAGACTTTGGGGTACTTTTTAGGAAGCTTGTATCCTTTCGTTTGTCATACCGCGTTCAGCATCCCAATTCAGTGAGACTGAAGGAAGTTATGCTTGTTTGAAGGTTAAAAAGTCGCATTTACACAGGAAAAAGTTTCAACGTCTAAATTTTTAATAAATTAGCTTAGAAAGGAAATTCAGACATGTTTAGAAAGAGAATTATTCGATTTTTCCAGATCAAATCAATCAAATCGCTTCGACGCAAAAGCATATAAAGGAAGTTAGAGCCCTAGAAAAAGGGAGGGTAAAATTTGTAGTGCAATTTTATTTCTTGCTTAACACTTATTCATTTCAAATTGTTCGAGAACAAATGTTCTGTAGTTAGAAAGGCTGAGCCTCAGCGATCCAAAATCCACCTCCATTTTCCGTAGCACCTGAAATTTAATGAATAAAAAGGATAAAGCATTCGCCGTTGATCAGTCCCTTTTTGGGATGCGGCACGCATTCTACTTCATTTGTTCATTCGTAGTGGTATTTGAATGCGATGTGGCCTATACAATGACTTGCGGGGCCAGCCGATGTACAAGTCAGTTTTTTTTTATCCTCCCAGACAACTCTGGTACCAATTTACCGACCCCGGAGAGATGGAAGGCTTGGTTGGCCTTGGCGACTCACGACTAGGGATTTGACCCGCGGACCGCCTCGCGTCGTAAGCGCGCCACTTGTCACTACACCACTCCCGCCCACCTGAAATTTACCGAAGAACAATTCGTCTGCATTTCAATATCCCCGTTCGTCACCTGTTTCCTATCAGCAAACGTCCTCCATCGCCAGTCCGCGATTTAACATATTTTAGACGCCACCTCTGTTTTTCCTATTATTGCACCTATTATTACACCTATCGGTTTTCCGGGTCTCAGGGGGTTGTATCAAATTGCCCATCAAGAGGGGAGGGGTCGTAAAAAATTCCAAAAAGTACCAACGATAGGGTTGACTCTGATACCACTGCATTAAATGCTCTGCGGCTCTTCTTATACTAGCCTAGTGGGGTAGAAGGCGCTACAGTGAGAAGAATGCCTCTTAATTTCGTTCAGAACTCATTACAGTTGGCCGGACCGACCATTTGGCCATTTCTTGTTATGCAAGTGCTGCGAGATCTCTTGTGGCGACACCGCTGTTGTTTCGTGTATCAAGCCACCTTACCAGTTGTATTTTACCGATTTTCTTTATACTCTTCCTCTGTGGCTAGTTTTACTGTTTGATGTCTGGTGATTTGCACCTTGCTCCCCGATTGACCAGTAGATCAAAATCGACTGGACATCACACTAAGGCATGGATAAACCACTCAGATCAACATCTGCACCAGCAATCAAGAGGAGATGTGTTGATATGGTGTCGCCTGAGAAGGATGACTGGGCAAAACTTATGGCGGATTGTGCTGGACCCGGAGTCCCTGCTCATGTGAGAGCCACATCAGTGCTCCAGTCGATAAAAAAGAAGCAATTGGACTCATTGCGGAAACTGATTGGCGGTCTTGTGGAAGAGAATACTAAGCTTAAGGCGGAGAATGATACTTTGAGAAAAATGGTTGAAAGGAGGAATTCGTTAACGAATGGTTCATCAGTACTAAGTCGCAAGTTAGTGAGAAGTCAATGTCTGAGAATCATACTGAAAGAAGGCGTTGCATTGTCATTATTGGGTTGCAGAATTAGATTCTTGTTTCTGCGATAGATATAGCGAATCATGATTTTCAGTGTGTCACTGCTTTGTTAAATCATCTTGACATTGAATGTGTACTCTGCGCGGTTTACCACATGGGAAGTCTAACAGTAATAATATTAGGGCACGTCTTATCAAGTTGTATTTACCGTAGCTAAGTTTCAGCAAATGGCAGTTAGACGCGCCCCGCGTCTGCGCTCTTTCGATCCTATCGGCGTCTATCCATCTCAATCGTTGGAGGAAAGAGTGCAGTACCGTGAGGCATGTTTAGCAAGGAAAGCATGTTTTTGTGGGCTAAATTCTGAAGTTCTGTTAAGGTCTGTTGCGAAAAATGCTGATGCCTGTATTTGTAATGAAATTTTGAGCTGGTCTTGAGTGAGACATGATTCCATTCTGAAACTGATATGGCTCCGCTGCTTGGGTTAGTGTTAGTGGGTTTTCAGTTAATTTCAACACAATACCAAATTTTCCGAGCTGCTAGGGTTCGCAAAAGAGGTGGTGGAGTTGCGGTCATGGTCAAAAGTCCTCATTCGGCTTGTATTGTTTTCAATGAGTCAGTAACTGACTCTTACGAAATCTTAACTTGTGGTATTTGGTTTTACTCTCTGGAGATGAGAGTCATAGCACACTCATCCGTGACACCAAAAGCGGGCCGCCAATTGGTAGCAGTGACCATGCAGTCATCAAATTTCGTCTGTTTCCGTCTGAAAATTAAACTACCTGCATTAGAGATTTTAAGTCGGCCTTTAAAGGTATGAGGAACTATTAACGACACATTGGCTAGCGTGGCCCATTTGGCACATTTGATATTGCTCATATGGTAAATGAAAAATATGAAATGTTTTTAGCCGTTTTGAAGCACGCCATGGATTGGTTCATACCTCCCAAATTGAAAAATGAAAATGTGCTATCTAAACTTCCCCAATATTCGAGCTCTTCGGAAAAGGTCAGGCATAGGCTATGGTGGCGAGCAGTTTTGTCGCAAATGGCGAGTGACTGAAATGCCTTCCATGCTCTGAGTAAAAGGTGGATCTAAAAGCTTAACAAATATAATGTGTATATTGTGCGGAAAAAGCTTCCGAAACGTAGAGTAAAATCGTTATACTCTCTGCTCAGATTTTTCGGAATTAACCTGAAATTGGGACCCTTATGACTAAAAATCTGTCCAGGGATATAATAGAAAGTGACAAGCATGTGAAATGTGTTTTCTACGTCCTATGTTTCTATCCCTAACTTGAATTCTCCCCGGTATCGATGTTCATAACCCGGCCCCTTGATTTGACAAGGGAACCATTGTGATATTCTTGAAAAATGGTCGCCTGCGGCTAGTACAAATTGCGAAAATATTCCCTTTATTGTATAAATAATTGTATTTTTGAAATCTGTGGACCTTCTTCAACTTGACCATGAGAGATGAAACAACTTGAGCCATGAGGATGAGCTACCCTGTAAATGGAAACATTCCAAAGTTTTTGCATTACCCAAAAAGTGCCAAACGTAGATGTAGTCTTATTTGATTTCAGTGGGGCATTTGACAAAGTGTCGCATAGAGTTTTGATTCATAAACTGTTTGCATGTGGATCGGATACAGGATTTCCTTGAAATAGGACGTTCCAGATTTTCGCTGGTGATTCTCTTTCGAGCTTGAAAGTTGCTGCTAGTGGTGTACCGCAGGCTGGAGTGCTCTCACCTGTTCTGTTCAATATCTGTACTGCCGATCTCCATCAGTGCACACAAAGTCTTGATGTTTATTGTGATCGTAGTCGCAGATGATATAAATATTTAAGGTGGTTAATGACTCCGTTTCTGACGCGGCTCTTGAGCAAGCTATAGGTAGGATTGTTGGCTGAGCCATTACTAATTGGCTCTGTCTGTCGACTGACAAAACTCAGGTTATGCGTATTGGTTCTCTTACCGTAAGCCTTGTTTTCATGGCGGATATTCAGACCCTAAAAACGGTCCGCGAACTTGGATACTACTACGATTATCGAAAGGCAGTCGATGCACTTTCAGTTTGTTCGAAGCTCTTCGATCTAGAGATCAGGACGTTCTTCTGCATATGTAAACCCTATGTGCGCCCCATTTTAGAGTATGGATCGTCTGTTTTTTACCCCTTTGCGAGAAGGGAAAGGCTCTTGAGAGTGTACAAAGTAACTTCATGCGTAAGTTGTTGGTTAGATGCTCGGGCCTTTCCTATGTTGACATCCCTCCTAAGTAGTGGATTTTGGAATAGTGAAATCTTGTTCTTAAAACACTTGAGTGGATTAGAAAACGATATGACTTGCTTATGGCTTATGAAATCCTTGAAAATTTTGTGAGAGATGATGTCTCTTATTTTTTCCAAGTGTTGCCGTCTAACACTAGTGGAGCCTCTCTAAGATTATCTACATCTACAGATAAGACTCAGTGCAGGTCAAAATTTTTCAGTCACACAGTACGTACATGTTTCAACCCCCTTTTGTGTTCTGATATGTTCCCACTAAAGTATTCAACCTTCAAGAAGCACGTTGGCAACTAAAAAGACTCGTGCTTCCCATAACATGGCGAAGTCAGAAACTGCCTCTGAACGACGTGGGGACATGATTTGCGCACACGACGACCGGTACTCCTCGACTCTTCGGGTGCTACTTCCCTGCTCAGCGACCTCACACCCTTTATTGAAATGGTGCAGCATGCATAGAGGATTCGGCGATTCTGCCTTAGCAAAAATTTCCCAGCTCTCCCGTTGCTTTTCCGTACCATAGGAGTCGATGTTGTCACAGAATTTGCTCACCAAGTTGACTGATCTTCCTAATTTCCTTGAAATGCTGCGGTGGCTGAGTCCCATATCCTTGTAACCCGAATCTGGCCTTTCTCAAAAAGTCGTGTAGGTGTAGAACAAGTGTGGGAAGTAGAGCAGTGACAAATTGGTTTCACATTCACCTAAGTCAGGAACACTGCGGAAGATCGAGTGTCCCTACACTTCTGGGACGCCATGATTTTAGAAAGAAAAAAATCAAGAAAAAATCTGCATATTTTTTCTTTAAAATTTCACTTATATATTTGTACCCTGGTGTATTAGTGCACTGTTAAAAATCTGGAGAGAAATCATTTATTTATAACAGAGATACTGAAGAAAAATAGGGTTCCCCATACTTTTGGGACACACTGTATAGGTACCCTTTGAATTTCGGCTATTCCAAACTTGCCTTGCATGCATTTTTGAGAAGCAGGGTGGTCACCAATGAATCCAAATGACAGAAAACAAAACTGAGTTCCAGTTGTTCAAATAGGAACCTCAAACAATATGTTATTTCTCACCGTTAACTTCAAGGCGAAATTACATCGCCTTGTAGTTAACGGCGGGTTGAGCAGATTCCTCTAGATTCCTATCAGGCCCACCTGGGCTAAACTTTTTGATGTCACTTCAGATCATACCAGACGCGAAAAAAGGAGATCGGGTTAATGTTCGCAAAGTGTCGTAATCCTGCGCTCCAGGAAACAAGTGTGAACGATATACACATTTCTCGACTGGAACTTCTTGTCATTTCGTGGTGAGATTTCCATCGGCAAACTCGGTGGCGATCCGGGTTCGTCGTTCACTGAAGAGATAATCGTTGTCGTCTCACACGTTGACTGCAGCTAGCGAATCCTCTCTCTCGCGCTTGCCATCCTTCGCGTCTTCAGCCGCGTGGCCAAAAGTCCATCTTGTATCAATTCAGCTGCTATTCAACCACAACATGGGCGTGAACTGATTCCGATTAGACGCAATTCTACGAATCAGCTGAGGAAGTCATCCGGCATCCGAGTAATTCCTTCTATTTAAATTCATTGTCGGAAAGACTTCAATGCCGAGGATCGTAATGTGAAGAAAAAGACAGACAAGGATTTGGCCCAAGTTGAGGGATTGGCGAAAGGAACGAAAATCGGAATTCTCGCCTTGCGGCCTCATGTCGCGACCTCGTCTCTTCGCACGGTAACTCTTTGTTCGATGAAGAAGGAACCATCGCCGCTGGACATGGGAAATCACCAACCGGCACGCACACGTGTTCCGAGCTCGAATCACAATTAATTACGAACAGGAGAGACGGTGCCTTTGGTGATTCCGCTGTATGCCGATCTTTCTTGGTACCGGATCTGACATCGGCTTCTTCGGCCGAAAATTTCGTATCTGTCTACGCGAAGGCTTGAAAAACGAAAGCCTTGCACCGCCCGAAACAAGCCAATCGGGTCGTGGTACGAATGAGAACTCTTCTTGAACGAGTGCCTTTGCGCGCAGACACTTGTGTGCGATCGATGAGGCACCCAACAAGGATTACAAATTGCTACTCGAGGGACTTCAAGCCTGTGCTGATGCGGCTTCTCTATACTTCAGGCGAAGGAGCTCCGAACGCATCTCGACGTCAACGAAGAGAACTCTTAGTAAGCGAAGAGCCTGCGACTTGATCCGAAATGCACCACGACCTCGAGCGACGATTGAATGCTGACACCAAAAGTTGAGAATAAGCGCTGCAGGAGGACATTATCGACAGTTCAGGAAGAAAAATCCTCAGAAGTCTGCACAACGGAAGATCAAGCATAAAGAATGCAAGCGGGACCTCACCGATCATCTGGCGTACGTCACTCGTTTCTGCTCTCCTGCAGAGAGAACGGAACCTCTACTACGTTCTAAGAAAGGAGATGGGAATCTATTAGCGGAAAAAGTTCTACACAGTCTATTCCCGCTCCTTCCATAACCCGATACCTAGACCCTGTTATCCCAGCTGCCCATCCCGACCACCACTATCGATCCTTACCTCAGAAGTTCGAGTTGCCATCGAAGCATGAAGAAGGGAACTGCTTCCCGGAACCCGATAAGATCTCGGTCGCACTTCCTTAGAGCCAGGGAAACACTCACTTCATGCTCATTTTGCAGCCCAATATGACGTCCTATCTTCGAAAGGGATAGGATTCCGACAGTGGAGAAACTTCGCAGCAACTGTCCAATTCTTATCAATGAAGGGTGAACAGAAAGATCGTCGAATTTACCGAGCCATCATGCTGTGTTGAGGTCGTGGGCGCGTACCAAGCTCTTTTACGAAGACAAAAAAAAAAGTTTTTTCTAATTCTCTCTGAGTAACACTGGATGAAGCGCAACCAAGTAGAAGAAGCTGGGTTCCGCAAGGGATCAGCTGCCATGACCACATCCCAGACGTCGTGAGAGTGGGAGGAGGTGAGAGGGTCTTGTCTGGAACACCAATTATGCCTTCTCGTTCTGACCTTTGGTCGACTAACGAAGAAAGCCTTGACCAGCGTCGAAACGAACGCCCATCCTGTCAGCGCTGGTCGACCAAGGAGTGGAGTCAATCCTATTTTAACATCTTAGCGAACTGTTACAGACACTGCTCAACGACGCTACAAACTGTTCAGACGGCGTCCTTTGACCCATCCCCAATCCAGAAGGGCGTCCAGGCAGCGGCGATACTGAATCTCGCCGAAGCTGTTTACCGCGGCGTTGCAGTGATTCATGAAGTCGCTCGACTGGGACGAGAGGGGCGATTACGAGTGGATGGAAATTCCGCTATCTCAACCTTCGATTTGGGCAGACAGACAATCGTCTTATTTCGAAATTCTATCACTTGAAGCAGGAAGACGATCTCCAACGAAACTTAACGAAAACTGCGGAAGTAAGAATGGACTACGAATCAATCGAAGAAGACACAAGTTTATGAAGAACTTCCTGGTGCCGAAAGAAATCGACATGGCGATAAATGGTTTGCAGATCTGTAAACGCATTCGTACTGTACCTAGGACGCTCGATAAACCTGAACAATGGATCTCAGAGGAACTGGACAGGAAAAGAGAGCGGGCTGGTCTGCATTCCGGTCTATTCAGAGAGCCACGACCATTCTTTCAAATTGTAGACCTGCAGAGCCCAATCTCTTTTGATCACAAGTGCTTCCTGGCGCTTCCTGTTACGCTGCAAGAAACGTGGGCCGATACGAAATGCCCACCACGAATACGCCTTCGAAGTAAACGCACAGAGCGTTAGATGAGTTCTTCTTAAATACAACAGGAGGCTCACAACAATCGAGCAGACTTCGTATTTCAGGATATGAGGGAGATGTCTGCGACTCAGAGATCCTGTGGAACATATCGTTACAAGGCAAAACACAGGTGGGCCGACATATCATGAAAGGAAACCGATCGAACCAGTGACGAAAAGGACAATAAAGTGGATCCCCTTAAAGACCACAAGCTCCTCTAGGGAAGACCACCTATTAGATGGCCGACGTGCTTCGTTAAGCGTTCTGAAGTCCGCTATTGAACTCGTGGACCAGTCAAGGAAGAAAAGGTATCGTGGATGACGTAGCTGAGAGCGAACACGAATGGAATCCTGTGCGTGGCTCCGCACATGGAGTGAACGACAGAGCCATCTAATGTATCTAAGTAAGTAAGCAAGTAAAGTGTTGTAAATGAAATACTAGACTGTCAATCGACGAGGCACTTTCATAGCGAATTTAGAAGTGCGATCTGTTCGGTAAACTTGGAATGTAGCGGTTCCTGATTGGGTGTTTCCCACAGGTTCCTAGCCAAGAGCAATGCGGACACAGTGTATGAAAACCGAGTGTCAAGGTCAAATTTTGAACGTACAATAAAATCAGATCTGAAAAAGAGCATGAACAAAACGTAAGCGAGGAGCAGGGAGGGCGCGTTAGCGGAGTAGAATCTCTAGCTACTGGTCAACTCTCTGAAAAATATATACCTCAATCACCCTTCTATGTGCGGGTGGTGTATCCTTTGGAGGTGGCTTCGTCTGTTGGTTTTCTGGCTGGGTTTAGATTGCGAAAGAGTGGAAGCTCACTTCCTCCTCTCTGAACGAATAGAGTGCCACAACAGTTTGAAAAATAGGGAGGCACACCGGTCTCTAGAACAACACCAAATTGAATGACATTGAAGACGGCCCCTGTAGAATAGTCGTCACTTATCCGAAGAAGAACGGAGATCTCTCTGCTCCGACCTGCACACGACCGTATCAATTGGTGGACAACCAACATTCTCCTGGCCTTTTAATATCGCCCGCTCGAGGAGCAAGTACGGGCGTTAGCGAAGGCCGCATTCAAATTACGCGTCTCCGATGTGACCGTGAAGAAACCACGCATGGCGCGCCACAATCAAAATGAGAATCAGACTTCTGGGCTCGGTCTGCCCTCACTAAATGAAGAAATGTAGTAGCCGAAACGAACTTCTTCGTGATATCCTCTGTGATGCATACCCGCATTATACGAAACGGGGCAGGCGTAGATCCGATAGAAGACAAAGGTAGGGGGGGGAAACCGACTCAAAAATCGAACGCACACCGTCATACGAAACAGTAACTAGTCCAGAAAGAGAAACAGTTTGCCGAAAAACAGCTGCAATGAAAAAGGGAAATGAATTACTCAAATCAATTTTACTTGTGTTCTGTTTCTTTTAGTGATAAACTCACATTTCTTTTCAATAACCCTACTCTTCAGTTCCTCTCTCTTCTTGCCCTTTGTCCGAAGCGAAATAGACCAATATGAAACGAGTTTAATAATCCACTACAGGTGAGTGAATACAAATTGAACAAAGAAATTTCCGGAGAAAAACCCGAATCCCCTGTTTGAGAATTGTGGATCAGTTAGCAATTGTCCAGCCAGCTTTAAAGAAAGAACGGGGAGAGTGCTCGCCACTGCATAGGGGGATAGTAGAAGATTGGTCGAGAGAAGAAAAGGTCGCTCGACAGCCATCAACTATGGAGCGCCTTGACAGGAATCAAAAGGGAACCTTACACAAAAAGAATGCAGAAGCGACCCGAAGCCGAACTCCCCGATTTTCGAAATTTAGGTCGTTCGCGGGTTGCCGCGTATTACGGTAACTGATGTTCAAGCAGTTCGTGGCGAGACCCCGCTGTCTTTATAATGTAGTTCTTCAAGCACTAACTTAGTGCTTGAAGATATGCATGTCCTGCCAGATCATCGGGGAGTCCGCGCTTAGTTTACCCGGCGCTTGACTGGTAGGCTACTTTTGACCAACACACCCTCCCTCGGGGCAGACATTGCCCTTGATGTCAAGTACCTCGAATCTGGTGAAAATGGCAACATTGCTGTTGCGGGTTTCCTCCTAGCCGCTTCTGCCTCGAAACATGAGATGTCTTCACGGTGTGTCCTTGCCTTCTCTCCCATGCTGATATCGTTCCTTCCTAAGATCTGATGGCTAGCTACTCTTCGAGCACTCTCCTTGTGGGTTTTAGCCACAGCACCTGAACGCTTGAAATTTCCGACTTTCTTCAGAGTCCGACGCAGCCATGTCGACATAGGAAGTGACCCTTTTTGCAGCGGCTTCATCAACATAGCACATTTGAAGCACACTACTTTAGTGCAGCAAACATTAATCTTCCACGGCTTCCTGCCGCGTTTCCCCCTTCTTGTGTCGATAGATTTACCAGATACACTATTCGGGAGCACCGAAAATAATGAGGAGGGAAGAAAATGTTTAAGTGGGAGCGAGCGAGCTGAAAGAAAAACTCTGAGAAAAAAAACGAAGAGGGGGAATACTCCCAGCTGGAGAAGAAGAACATGAACGCTTGAACCTCCCTTCGCGGGTGTGTATATAGCCGACTGTATCGATAGAGGTCACGAGCAGGTCAAAGCGCGGGGGCGCGGCATCACCGAACAACGAGTTAGGGTCATCAATAAAAAGAATTGGACGAATAAGAAAACAGTGGTAATGTGATATCTTCCCCGCCGGGTGAAGCGGCGTCCTCGCCGCTTTGCAGCTTTATGACGTCAGTGTGATCCTCTTCCACGTCGGAATTGGTATCCTCTGCTTGGGAAAACGTCGCTGATGACCTTGTGTATGGTTGACTGGCTGCGGGACCGAAGTGATTGAAGTTTCTGAAAGTATGATGATGATATCCTCCGAGTTTGCGTTTCTCCTTCTTTTCCTCAAAATATCTGCGCACCCTTTCAGCTCTTGCTGATCTCATCGTTTTTTCGACTAACTTGGGAAGTTGCACTTCTGATTTTATGTATTCTATCATAACCTCCAGGTCCTCGGACATTGTTTCTG